CGCCCGGACTCTGCACCCTCAGACGCGGTCCTGCCTCCCGCGAAGGCCCGCGGAAACTCCTGCGTCCCCTGCCGGCCCATGGAAGGGGCCCAGCCTCCGGGGCCTCGGGACGAGCTGGAACTGTTGGAGCTTGGGGAGCAGCCAGAGGAGCAGAGGCCTCTCAATGGAGAGCTCCGGATCCTGACTTCCTCGGCCGAGGACCCCTGCCCAACCCAGGTAAGGGCCCCTTGGCGCTGGACAGGCCCGGGTGTCGGATCCCCTGTCGGAGGCGGACACGGAAGGGTGGGACCTCAGGACGCCCTGGGCACCCCGACCCTGGGGGCACTTTAGAAACTTTGTGGTGAGGTGCAGCCCCTCCTTTTTCTCTGTCTCTGTATCCCCAAGATGCAGGTGGTTTGTAAAGTTATAGTAACTTCATTAGGTTTTTCGTTTTCAATCAGGGAAATAAAAGTCTGACATTCATATTGTCTCTCTGTCTCTCTCCGACTCTCTGTCTCTCTCTCTCTGTCTCTCTCCTTACATTCGCTGGAAATCCTATATCCACCCTCTCCTCCCTCTCCCTAATTACCCCTCATCTCCCAAACACTTTCTGTTTTCTCCTAGCTTGGAAGGGAGAGAGATACAGAAGCAGCCAAAGGACAAAGCAAGAACCAGAGAGTTCAGGCTGCCTTGGGGTGGGGTGGGTGAGGAAGGAGAACTTGCCTCTTGCCTCTTCCTTTGAAGGGGAATCTTCGCAACATTTTCCTCCAAAACAATTAGACTAGCTTCATTTGCCTTTTCCTCCTTTTCATCTCTGAGGAAGCTCTTGGAGTGTTTAGGCTGAGCTCGTTTTTGATGTAACCCTAGCAGTGATGAAGTATTATATACTCATGTCAAATTCCTGTAAAACATCAGAGAGTTCGATTTCTGAATTAACCTCTTCATGTTAACCCCTAAGACTGGCTTGAGGTTTACTAGGAATTGGGAACTCCCAACTCCATGATTTTGTCCTGATCTTACTAGGAAACTCAAACTTTGTGCTTTTGTTCAACACTGATTCTAGAAATACTGTGCAGTAAAGTCTGCTTTTGTGGGTAACCTGGAAAGTAAAGTGGCAGCTTGCATTTGAGTGAAATAGAGCCCCAGGAGAATGAAGTTTGGAAAAGATGGCTGCTCAGTAGAGCTAGGGGCTACTGCCATGAGCTAGCTGTGGTCCAGACGTGGACATTTGCAATGCTCGCCTCTCATTAGCTAGACCCTGTGCACTTCAAAGAATCCAAAGTTTGAGGTTGTTCTGGTGACAGTTGTACAGATAAAAGATGTGCTCCAGGCTCAAGGCTGACAAATGTTGGGGATGTAGTGCATCCCACTGGGCTTCTGTGAGGCCCAGAACAACTACAGAAGGAGGTGTAGTTGGGGAACAGCACATGCTGAATCCGTGTTGGCTATCAGTGGTTTATAATTGTTTATCCTGCACCTTGAAGAGATTGCTCATTCATGTTCTGGTTGCTTGTTAGTCAGGTGTGTACAGATATTCAAGACTTCCTTGTCACTGAGCTTTGTAGGTCAGCAAATTGGAAAGTTATGGTGACTGACAGAATAGAGAGAAGGCGAAGAAATACTTGAAGAAGAAAAACCTTTTCTTGAAAAGGTAGTGATGAGAATCCCTCACCTCATGTGTTAGCCATTCTCTGGTTCTATAGAAGAAGTTGAAGTATATTTCAGCTTGAAAGATCAATTAATATAGGGTCATTAAGTATTGGTCAGCATAACCATGTGATTCAGACACTGAAGAATTTTTGTGTATGGGTCCTTAAGACTGTGTATTAAGAATCCCAGTTTTGAGGTACAATTTCAGTCTGTGTACTTTAACCTTTTTTATATGTATCATGTGCCAAACATTTGTGATACATAAATTTCATACATTAATTTCATTTCTGTACCACAACAAAATTAGTGCTGATACTCTGAGTTGATTGAAAGAACCATGTGCAGAAACTGAGTCTCAGAGAAATTCTTAAAATGCTTAGGTTACTCAGTGGTATCCCTGAAGTTTCAACTCAAGTTTCAGGGGTCTCAGATCTATGTTGTTTCCATTGATTCTTTCTAGTTCTCTCTCTCTCTCTCATCTTATATAAGTATAATTTATATCAGTTTATGTATAGTTGCCTAAACTACAAATTATATATTGCTAATTTTGATAAATTAGGTCCCTTATGATCAGGTAATTTAAGTGAACTATCCACCCTCTCCTCCCCCTCCCTAATCACTATGGTGAACTATGGTGAACTATGGGGCGTTGGATAAGGAGGGTGTTACAGGTGGATGGGTGGGGGGAGGGAACACTTCTGGATCACTGAAAGAAGACAGACCACATCACTGGTATCTGCCTGCTTGGGAGATCTGGGCTGTGGGAGTATACAGAGAGGGTAGAGAGAATTTTTTACCCCCTTTCTCAATCTGGGTTTGGGGTTTATGGAAAAAGGAACATTACTCTCTGAGTTCCACTTGGTCTGCCTTCATGGTAAGCAGGTCAGTATCATTGGGTCAAAAGTAAAAAGGAAATTGTAGGCAACAGAATGAGACTGGTTTTCTTTTATGGCTTATGATAAGGGCCCTGACTCAGAAGTCTGAGGGACACGTGAAGTGATGGTAAGATTGTAACCATAATAATGAAAAAGTAAACTGGTAGTTTTGAGATGAGCAAGCATTATTTGAATGAGCTACTTAAAAATTCACCCCACTGCTACACATTATTCACCAGTCTGGGACAGGGATCAGCTGGATCTTTTGTGCTTGGATCAGGCATATAAATTAAATGCCACAATAAAAGATTAAAAAGTACAGGCTTTCTTATGTAGTAGGAAAATTCTCTGAACTATACGGTATTGAGCTGGGGAAGAGTTTTTTGGACCCCAGAGATGGCCAGTCCTGCCATTATGGTTAAACCCGAACCTGAAGACTCCTTGTACCAGAGGGAGTATTCAGAGGAAAGCACCCCACATCTGGAGCCCTATAATGCAGTCGAAGAATTCAGGTACAGCTTGAAAGTATCTCTGGAAGGCACTTTGTGAAGAACTTGCTTATGGCCTTTCATGATCTCAAATTGGGCAACAGAGAATGCAGAAGCCAGTGAAGGAAACAGTCTTCATGCTCCAGTTTTGAGGGAGGCTCAGATAGCACAGGCATCTCAACCTACTACATCCAAGATTCTTTTCTGTGAGAGACACTTGTAGCAACTGCCGATTCCTCTGTTGATGCCAGTGTGCACACAGCATAGAAGCACTGCACTTTATTGTTGGTTGTGAGTGTCTGACACACTATTCGTATTTGTTCTTTTGGAGACAGAATCTTGCTGGCCTTGAACTCACTGTGTAGCTCAGGGTGGCCTCAAACTCATGGTGATCCTCCTGCCTCAGCTGCTGCAGGGCTGGGAGACAGACTATTTATAATGACTTGAAGCCTGTGAAGATTCATTGTGCAGGGAGAGTGGTTAGTGGTCTCACTCCTAGGATGGAGAATGTGACAGGAATGGACCCAAGGCTCTAGGAGGGTAGATTAGTGCTGAACAGGAGGAGAAATTTCCTGTAGGCAAATGCTGTGTAATTCTGAGCTGAGTTGCTCCAGGAAGTCACAGAGTACTTTATAGTATTCTCAAACCACGAGATCCCTAATTTATGATCTCTGGGGAATAGCACATGAGGCACCGACACTTATTCTTGGTTCATTTGAGATAATTTTCTTAGTGATCTGGCTGCCTCTTATGTAAGGACTGAAAACAGCAGGGTGCATTTTTGTCTCAGGAACTGTGGATAGGAACTGTGTTGCAGTCCCTAGGAAGTTAAGGACTCCTTGCACCAGAACATTTTTTCCATCGTTCCTTCTTGAACCCTTGGTTTCTGTGGCTTCAGAGCAGTTCTGCACTCCTGAGTGGGGGTTGTGGAGGCCCAACCCTTGCACCCCAGAAACACACAACTCAGCAGGCTTTCCTCAGTCCAGGTACCGAGGACCTTTCCTACTCCCTGTATACCTGTGATATGCTGAACTGAAGGATCTAACCCTTAAGGGCTCTACCATTTGACCCCTTCTCTAGAATGTCTCAAAGTACATTCTTAAAATTTCTGAGCTATTGAGTGTGGTGGCTCACAGCCATGATCCTAACAGTCAGGAGGCTGAGGCAGGAGGGTAGTAGTGAGTTCAAGGCCAGCATGGACTACATAGTGATTTCAAGGTCAAGTAGGAATATAAAAAGAAAAAAAAAAATTCCCAGAGCCCTGAAATTAAGCAACAGGTATTTATGAAATGCTTACTTCCTGTAGGAGGCACAACTGTGGGATGGACGGGCAGGGAAGTTAAAGAAGCACCCCTCCCTCTGAGTGGTTTCAGTTCACCTGGAAAGATAAGACTTGTTTCTGTTTGTTGGAACATGAAACCAGACTAGACAGTGGTAGAGGCAGCAGTGGGAGGTTGCACAAAGCATGGGTGGGAAGGAAGGCTGCACCTGGCTCTTGAAGGCCGGCAAGGCATTGGACCAGGCATTCTAAACCATATAAAGCAGTTGATTCCCTGTGGGAGGTTAAAGATGACAGGACAGGGCCTGGTCCACTATGTGCATTTCAATAGCTTACTCAAAGTTCCTCTGCCTTGAAGTGGTATTGCCTTGGAGTGGAATCTAGGTATTTTAGATACAGAAACATATTTGTTTTTTGCCTGTGATATTTCATCATTTCTCATGGTCTCCTTGTAGGAGTTACCTAATCATGCATTGGGAAGCCGAAGAATCAGAACTATTTAGGGACGGTGAAGGCACTGTGAATATGATTTCTTCAGGCAGCCAGGTACACGCATGACGTGGAGCTCCCCACATTGATGCACAGAAGTTGCGCACGGAGGGGCGGGTGCAAGAGCTGTGAGGTGACACCCAGCAGGGATTAGTTCTGGCTGACCTCTGAAGTACAAGTTGGAAATGTGCCGATACATACCTTGAAAGGCTGTTAGGACTGAGTGAAATGACATTAGTGCTCAGTAAACCAAAGCAGCTATAATTATTTTCTTTGACCCTACATTCTGCCTCACTATACACAGTGAGCTTTTTTTTTTGCTACTGGTCCAGACATTTGTCCTTTCATTTCCTTTCCCAAAACTCTTTTTATGTAGAATTGGGGCCACAGCAGTAGCCTTTTCTTGGTATGTCCAGTTCAAAGAACACATTTTTCTCTTAATTTTCAACTCAGCTCCTGTGTTCCAAAGCCTTCAACTGGTCACTACTTCACACACCAAAATAAGTCTAGCCTTCTCCAGCAGCAGTCAGACCTCCGGAGGAGGATCCAACCTTACACTCTCTCTACTCTTTTATTATTTGCCTGTGACTCCTGCATGATGATCCTCAGGTTCTCTGCTTGCTGGTTTTATTATGAAGAGACCTCACGCATGCTCTTTCTTGGGTTTGGGACACTTTCAAAACCCCATTTTTTACATAGGAAGATAAACTTTGCATGTTCTCATATACATATGGAAGCTAAAGAATTGATCTCATGGAAGTCCAGAATAGAATAGTGATTTCCAGAGTCTGGAAAAGGTGTAGGGAAGACAGAGAGGGAGAAGGGACTGACACATATAGGAATGCAGTTGGATGGGGGAATAACTTCTATGTTCTTTAGTACAATAGGTTTGTGCCATACATATGGTTGACAACAATTATTAATTGTTTATGTCAAAATAATAGAAAGGATTTTGAGTGTTTTCTACAGAAAGAATGATAAATGTTTGGGGTAATGGATATAACCATTACCCTGATCTGATCACCACACATTGTATACAGTTATTGATATGACACACTGAGCACAAATAAATATATATGATTATATGTCAATTAAAAATAACGTGTACCTATGTAAACTGTAAAAAAAAAGTTCATCTTTCAAAATCATGGCTGTCCTTTCTACCTCAGAGCCTCAAAGCCTTTTGTTGCTAACTTTTTCCTGAGGTTCCATTCTGTCTGATACCTCCTTCCATAAACTTGATTCAGAAGAGGGCACCCCCTTGAGATCAGGACTCTGCTGCCTTCATTTCTCTTTCCCTGACCCCCTAGTAGGGATTTGAGAATATTTGTTAAGACCAAATGACTCTTTCTTTGCTTTGTAGGCTAACAAGAAAAATTGTAATACGACTGTGATTGGAAGGTGTAAACTGTGGATGGTCATTGGCTCCATTTTCCTAGGTTTCATTATAGTGGTCATCATAGGCTTATGTCTCACTGGAGGTAAGAGGATTTCCACTAAGTTGACACTTTTTAAGAACTTGTTTAATGCTTATGACTTTCATTGAACTGGAAAACCTACTCATTCCTATTTCACTATTTATGTCATGAATTATGTGACCAATTTTTTATCCCAGTCTTTTTTTTTAAACCTTGGAACTATGGAACTGTTAAGACCGTATGCTGACTGAGCAGCGAGGAGATTTTTTGTTCTTGGCCAAGAATAGGCGAATCAGGAGGTAGATTCCCCAAATCAAATTTTCTCCTGCTGGGGGTCTGGCAGAGATAAGGTAAAAGAAACGGACAGTGGAGGATAGGCTAATAAAGATGAAGAACAGTTGTGTCTTTTCTGGGAAGGAGGAGAGATTTTCTGGGCATTCAGGCACCACCTCTGTTCACTTTTGTGGTTCTTTCCCATTACTGTCCCGAAGTTGTCATCTATCATGGCAGTAGGGGGTGCGCCATTAGCATGCAGATTAAATTATAATGAAGCTGAAGGTTGTCTGGCATCACTGTGGCAGCTGTCCCAGATCCAGCCACTTTTGATTAGCTCCCCTGAATAAGTACTTGTGGCCTTTGAAGACAGCCTGCTCTCAAAGATAAATCAAATTAAGGTGAGGTCAAAATGAACTAATATAGGATTAGAGTGAGATAAACAGAAAACTGCTTTAGAATATGTTGTGTGGATAAGGTCTTTTTTGTTGTATTATATTCATTAAATTCTAGAAGTGGGGAGACCAGTGTTTTATTTGAAATTCTACTCATTGGATCTTGAAGAGGTTTCTGAGAGTTTTAGCATAAATAAGCACTAATCTATATTTTATTACATCTTAGGCCATGCTCCCTTGACTTTTTTTTCTTTTTATAATTTGTTCAATAAATGTAATTATCGAGGTTATCTGGTATATTTGCCATACAGTGATAAAATAATGAGTAATATATTTGAAATTTTAAAGACTTTATAGATCCATATCTCTACAAACTATCATTATTTAAACTTATTTTAGAAAGTTTTATTATAGTTTGTTGTATATGTGTGTAAAACAAAAATGTCCATTTGCTAATGACCTACTTTATGTTATCTCATTTTTTATTTGAATTTAAAATGATACATGTTCAGTTTTCCACAAAATGCATTCATATCCTTAATATTATTATATATTCTTAAGTCTTACACTTTAAAAATAATTTTTGTTTTGTTTTTTTGGTACCAGGAATTGAACTCGGGTCCTTGTGCTTGCAAGGCAGGCCACTGAACCGCTGAGATAAATCCCCAGCCCTTTAAAATAATTTGAAAGTGGGTTTTTAATAGTCTGTGACTTACCTTAAGTATTTTAATGTTACATTGAGATCATTTTGCCAAGTCATTAAAAATTCTTTGTAAACATAATTTTTCATGGCTATATTTCTTAATTGTTTCACATTACTTTTAAACCCTTTTAGGTTATCAATTTTGCATGATTTTTAAAAAAGTTTTTGTGTATACAAGCAGTGTACTCCAAGTAGTGCACAATTATTTCTATCTCAAATATGAAAGAAGAAAATTATTTTTCTTTGTACATAGGGGTAGAGAAGGGCTTATTTTAGCTGGGATTCCTAAGGATGATCTGGCCTCTACAAGGTTGGGGATTAAGCCAGTCATAGAACGAGAGCAAGAATGGGGAATTCCTAAGTCTTTGCAGAGAGAGTTCTTAGGAATTTTCCTCAGGAAAATATATTTGCTAGGGAAATCTCCTGTTTCCCTCATCAAACCATGCCTCAAGGTTTGTAATTTCTGAGAGAAGAGGGCAACTGTGAGAAGAGCCAACCTCTGCAGCACAGGAATTTCTAGGCAGACACTGTGTCTACTTGGTTACCGGGGACTTTATTATGGTGAGATATATGATTCTGTGAGGCCATAGGATGGTTTTAAGTAAGAAACTGCCGCTCTGTCATGCTGAGGATGGTAGTTTTGGGTGATCAGTGATACTTTTTATTCATATTAACTCCCACATATGGGTGTTGGTGCAAAATTCCTGAAAGGCTACTAATTTATCTATCTGGTAGTATCTGGGGCTTTTAGTGGCTGAATATTCAGGATTCTAAAGTACAAGACCTAAGATTTGTCTTCCTTTTTCATACATTATCTTACCTCAATTTACAAAGAGTAATCTGCAGATTTAGGTTTTCAATTTCCTTTAGTAGTTTTTCTGGAGACATAAAAGATCATGTGGTTGTATTCAGGGAAGAATTGTTTTAATGCTTATAGGGCAAACTTTATTTTTAATTTGATTGTAAATTTAGGTTTTAACATATGCTAATGCTGTAAGAGAGATTAAAATTTGTTTTGCATCCAGGAAATCCTTTTAACTTACTTGGCATCTCAGCCTTTAAGTAATTTGGCCTGTGGAAAGAGTCAAGATAGACTAAAATCCTAATAACTACACAGAAGGCTTCAAATTTAAAGATAAAATCTGTTATCTTACCTGTGAGACTGAAATACATTATTAATATTTTGTTATGTTTTCTTCTATTCTTTCTCTTGGCATTAAAAAAATTGAGATCAGGGTTTTTTTTACTACTCTTCTGTTTTTAGAATTTTAAGTTATATAGAGATAATTATGCTAAATATCTAAAAATTGAGTAAGAGTTTTTGTGGTGGGGAGGAAAAGTGTGGGACAAGGTTCACCTCTCTCATAGTCCCAGCCTTAACCACAGCTATTCTGTAGGCAATTTCTCAGGTAACAATCTGCCAATAATCTAATAATCTGCCTAAATGCCACTGATTTCTTTTCTTTTCTTTCTTTCTTTTTTTTTTATGTGTGTGTTACTGGTGATTGAATTCGGGTCCTTGCACTTTTTTTAAAATTGAGTTTGTTGGTACATTTTAGATGTACAGTACATTTACATTCATTATTGGGATCTTGCACCTCTACATGACAGGTCTTGGTTCTCATTTTTTCCCCTTGTCCCTGCCCTCCCTTCACCCCCTCCTCCCCTCTCTGTTTACAAATACTTTATTTCCATTTTTTCATTTTGTCATATTTTTTTCTTTTCCCTTATTTTCTTTCCCCTACCCTTCCCACTTTCCCTACACCTTTAGCCCTTTTCTTCCTATTTCTTTCCTATTTCCTTGTACTTTTGAGGCAGGTGGTGGAACCACTGAGCTAAATCCCCAGCCCAAAGCCATTGATATGAATCAGCTAATTGTACATCTATTTGTATAGCTATTTCTACAGTGTAGAAAATATTGTTGTCTAGGAAAAGGGCAGTGTTGGGAGAGCCAAGGGCTGTACTTACAGTTGACTGGATCCATTGGGAGATCAAGATCCTCAAAAACTATATTTGCTACCCGTCTTCTGCTTTCCTTACTCCAATCCCTTCAATATCCTGCCTCAAAACTCTATAATCCCCAGACTGAGTTTGGAGGCACTGATAGTAGTAACTATGCCATTGGATTGGGTACAGAACAGGACAGCAAATGCATTCCAGAATGGAAAGGGTAGCTAGTTGGAGAAGACAGTAGGGTACCCAGGGCAGAGTGCCCAGTGGTATACTGTCACCAACATTATTAAGGTTTGGGAGCATGTGGTGATGTGTAAAGGAGGCCAACTTGTAGTTGGTGTTAATGTTGTTGCTAATTTCTACAGACTTTGTACCCTTATTTCCTACAACGGGGATAAGCTTGCCCACATCACTGCCCTGGTTGTGCATGGAAGTGATGGCAGATTTACAGTCATGACTTAGCTTCAGACATTGAATATGGGCTGGGAGAAGAGGTCAGTAATCCAGACCCATAGATGACACTGACTTTCATGTAAACAGCCAATTTTCTGAGGAGAGCCTGGGTAATTCTGTTGAGGCTGAAGGTTTGTTTTTGTCCTTGGTATGAAGGGTAATAAAAAAAAATAAGAAAAAGGCTTCATTATCACTTAAAGTCATTTGCCTTTCTGAATAATTTGGAAAAATGCTCAGTAAGGTGACCTCAAAAGTTTTCCTTTTTTCACCATTTCACCCCAGTCAGGAAGGGCTGATACCTTACTTGTAAAAGTCTTTGACAGATAGGTGAGTTCTTAAAAATATGATGTAAAGTTATAATACTCTGACACCCTCATGTGGTATTCCGCAGCATTACAGATGCCTGTCTGACTCTTTCAATTTCTTAATTTATGGGCCCTTCAGTGAGAAGGATTGCTGTGGCACCGAGGAGTAAGCAGGGACTTTGGAATTGGCAGGATATTAGCCAACAATTTTCTCAGGACAATACTGGTTGATGTAAAGTGACTCATGGGGAAATCCTAGGCAGATAGCATCAGCAAGCTGTAAATTCCCCAGGCCCTTCAGAGCAGGAATGAAATAGCAATTCCATAGACTCACTCACAGTTTCTTCACATTTTCATCTTTCCTTCAAACCTCATATTTTCCCCCCTCGCCATCACTGAATTCCTTACCCTTTATCTCCACACAACACTGTCTAAGTCAGTGGTGGTGAACCTATGGCACATGCACAGCAGCAGGCTGTTTGCATCTTTGAAAGCTCTAAAGATTTCGCCACTACTCCTCTAGGTTTTTCAGATACTTCCTCCCCTCCAGGCCTTCTTAACTCTTCAAATGTGTTAGCAGCAACTTCCCTTCATAACAGTCTTGCATAAGATTCTTACTAATGTCACTTAGACATTACTAATAATTACTAATATCACTTCTTTCCATTCACTGGCAAGGTTCTGAAAGAGAGGTCTGCACATGGATCGTGCCTTTTGCTTATCCTAAACCTCTTGGACCCATTGGCTCCAGATTACTCTTTGCAAAGTTGCTAGCAATTGTTTAATCACGAAATCCAACTTTTCTCCCATCTTCTACTCTGCTTTCAGTTGTGTTGTACTCTTCTGAGTCTGTAGAGCTCCTGGACTTTAAGTTTGTTTTGCATTTTTGTTTTTGATCTCCTCGTTGTGGGTCCATGAGGCTTATTTTCAACTCTCTTTCTCTTGACATTTTGGGTTCCTTCCCTTGGGAAGCTTATTCACTCCCCAGGGCCAGCTGCTAGGAGAAAGCTCTTGAATGTGCACATGGTGATCAAAACTATAATGAATGTTTAAATTTAAAGATTTATTATTATAGTAAAAGACACATTGCCATCGATCCCCCTCAGAATAACCCCCCTCTTGTGTCACTTTCTGAAGTAGTTCTGGAAGCCCTTTTCACAGGTGTTTTCAGTTACACTGTCATACCTGCCTTAATGTTCTAAATCAATCCAAAGTGCTTATTTTTCATGGTCATTTTATCTGTGGGAAAGAGCCAGAAGTAACACTGTGCCAGATCCAGTAAATAAAGTGGATTGCGACAGACAGTAATGTTTTCTCAAGCCAGCCTTCTGATTGGATGGCACTTGGCAATAGCATTCCCTGTATTTTTTTTTATCATACCTCATGAAGACACTCACAGACTTTCAGAACTATAGTACTTCAGAAAGAGGCAAGAACAATGGGATCATTGTATTCAAAGTGAAAGGAATTAATGACAATATGTCCTTTATTGTCATAACTTTACAAAATTAAACACAATCACTGTATATTTTGATCATACTTCATATATGCACAACATTTTCTTGACTTTTACAGATACTCTTTGCTAGAGATCTTGATGTAGAAATAACCATCATCGTCCCAGTCATTACCAATGTGAAATTTCTGTTTGTTTGTATCCAATCTGTTGGGCTGTTGTTGAGATTTCTGCTCTGGAAATAGCTCCAGAGATTTAAGTGACTTGCTCAAGGTCGCATGATGAATAAATAATAGGGCTAGAGTTCAAACTAGGTTTGGCTGCCTATAAAACAAGCTGGGATTTACTATCCTGGCCTACCTTCCTTGCCTTCCTTCCATGCCATCCTCTGCTTTCTTCCTGGGCAACTTCTAGCACCTTCCATTGCCTCCTGACAATGGTATTTAAAGCCTTCCTCTAGAGCTTCATGTTTTGTATTCCGTCTGAAGAGCTCTTCTCAGATCCCTACCACATACTGCATATGACTCTGTGATTTTTAAAATGCATTATCTCTTCATGGAAAGTACTGTCAAGATTTAGTCTCAGTGACATAAAACTCTCCTGACTAAGTTTGTTGTTGTTATTTTTGTTTTGACAAACACAACTGTTTAGCCAGCTCTCGATGCAGATTCATTATTTAGAAGGTACAAGTTAAGTACTGCTAGAGGTATTATTTGAGGTCTCTTTTTTTTTTTTCAGCTTTAATTGAGTTTATTGGTACATTTTAGGGATACAGTACAGTTACATTCATTGTTGGGATCTTGTACCTCTACATGACAAGTCTTGATTCTCATTTTTTCCCCTTACCTCTGCCCTCCCTTCAACCCCCTCCTCCCCTCCCCATCTACAAACACTTTATTTTCATCTTTTCATTATCTCACATTTTTTTCTTTTCCCTTTTTACTCTTCCCCTACCCATTCCACCTTCCCTACACCTTTAACTCCTTTCTTCCCATTTCTAAATGTCAGTAATCTTATTAGAATCTTATGCAGGTCTCTTTTTTAACATGGCTGGGAAGAGCCCCTGAGTTTATCAAATATTAGAGTCCCTCAAACGCCCTCTAGTATCTCCTGTTCCTTTCTGAGGAATGAACAGTGACTGTAAAAATCTGTGTGGTAGATATAGAGCTCAAAGATGACCATTACAGTATTATTTATAGTACTCAAAAGCTGAAAATACTAAATGTCACCTTAAGAAAACAGATGACCCTATTATGAATATTATAAAGCCATTAAAGTAATTTTTTCAAGGAATTTCATATAAATGGGTAATGGCTTTGGATACATTAACATCAAAAGAATCAAAACAAGTAACAATAATAAAAATTGACAAAAAGCAGGATATAAATTACCTATTTATTTATTTATTTATTTATTTATTTTGGTACTGGGGATTGAACTCAGGACCTTGCACTTGCAAGGCAGGCACAGTGTCATTGAGCTAAATCCCCGACCCCTAAATTACCTATTAACATCTCAAATATATAATATAAAATATCCAGAGGAAAACTTTTTAATTAAAGGATTATTTGGATTTTTATTTTTTGCTTGCTTAAAGTTTTCTCTACTTTGTGAGTCTTTTGCTGTGATGGCCTCTTGTCATCAAAGTAATGCAATGACTTACAATAAATAAGAACATTCCCAGAAGTCACTCTAGGATTCGGTGGTTTGTTTTGAGCGTTCAACGTGTAGCTTACCTGATAACTGTAATTTATTATACCAAAAAGGTACATTAAAGAGCTTATTATAGCAAAATCCAGAGGAACCAGTCACAAGATTTAGAGTCCTCTCTCCCAGTGTGGTTGCACAAGATGTGTGCTTACTTCCCACAGCAGTGAGCTGTGAGAACACTCGTGAATATCATTAGACATCACTTGCCCAGTGTCTTCACTGGAGATTGGTCCTACAGGCAGTCTCTGACTAGCATGGACCAAAGGGCCATTAACCACATTGTGGGTACAAAGTATTGAGGTACAGTGACCCACTCCTATGAGGACATAATAGGAACCTTCCCCAAACCTGTCCTCTATGCCATCCAGGGGCTAAGCTTGAGCAACTTTTAAAGCTAACAATTTCAGGCCTGCTATGTTAACTCTTTTCTGCATATATTTTGCCCCTAATGCCTCACATTTTCAAAGTTCCTTAAGTAATAAGTACCAGAAAAATTTTTTTAAAAAACTGTTCTTCCATCAAAAATACTCAATTTATTCCACCATGGTTTTTCAAAGTCCGGAAAGAGAGACTGGTTTTGTTATGCATGGGATTTAAAGGTGCTCATCTCTGTGCATTTGCTTCCTCCCACCCACACCTTTCTCAGGGCCAGAGAGGTGGCCCCTGAGTAGGACCAGCCTGAGAGGCTGGCGTGGAGCCCTGGGAGCATAATGAGTTCAACACTGCCAGCTTCTGGCTCCTGGCTTTGTTTTCTTTCAGCACTAACTGCTCAAAAATCAATTAGCCAGCATTCTCTAGAACGCAAGACACACAGAGCTCACTGTCTCAGGAAGGCAATTCCTGCCAGCCCTAGGGCTTGGACTGCAGTTTGGCTTCCCTTTTGCAAACAGAGTGTGTCAACATTTCTCTGCTGGGTACCAGCTAGGGCGGTGACTTCATGCCCATCTGCTGGCTCCTGGGGAGACTTCAAGACATGAGTTCACAGGCTCATTTTCTGTTTTCATCTCTGTTCTGGTTGATGGTACCACTTCCTCATCATGGTCTTTGATCGTGCAGAACAGGAAGGCGATTCAATGAAGCTGACCGTGCAGCTCCCCTCCTGCCTCCTGCTGTCTCCCAGAACCTGCCCTGACACGTGCACACATAGTTAAGCTGCGGGTTCAGTTTAACATGGTGGTTCTTGTTTTCTCCACTTCCTTCCTCCAGCTCTTCCTCCAGTCTGTATTCAGTTGCATCTGAGACCCCTTTGGGCACATGAACAAAACTTTTATCGTAATGTTAGACTTTTTTTTTTAGTATGTCCAGGCTCTCTCCTTCATAAGTGCTCATGGTTGTGTTTAAGAATAGCAGGCAATATAATAGATAAGTTTGATTTACACACGTTTACTTTTTATTTTCACTTCCCCACTCTCTATAGTAATGTACATTGACGAAGATGAAAATGAAATAATTGAATTATCATCAAACAAAACATTCTTCATCATGCTAAGGATTCCAGAGGAGTGTATTGCTGAAGAGGAATTGCCTCACCTGCTCACTAAAAGGGTAATTATGATTTACACATTGTTCCCTAGATTTTTCTTTCTTTTTTTTCCTCTTGATCACTGAATTTTTTAACATGAGATTATGAGTTCGAGTTCTGCTGGAACAATTGACACAGAGCTTTAGAGTCCGTAGCTCCAACTCTGTCTGGATTTTAGCAGAATGATGATTATAAAAGTATTTTCTGCGGTGAAAGGCTGGAAGGATGAGCTCTGACCTCCAGCTGTGTGTAGCCTGGAGCACGGTGTCCCATTCTGTCTCACTAGTGGTGCATTTGGTCCGACCTCTGGTGTTCATAGAGGATATATGATGTATCCGACAACACGCTTCAGTGGGCTCACAATTCAAGTGGAGATAGCAATTAAATAGTTATAAAACAATGCGGTATATCTATTACTGGGATACACAGAGTGTGTTTATAACCACAAAGAAGAGGCGTCTGAGCTGCCTGAGGTGGGAGGTAGGCAGCCAGAGCTGTTGGAGGATGTAATATTCAGAATGAATTTTGAAATATGAGGTAAGAATGTTTTATGTTTTCAGGGCTCTGCCAAGTGTTGTATTTTGCCTGAGCATGCTGTGTAGTGAAGATGCTCGGGGTGATGGTGGAGAGGAAGGTAGTTGTGAGACAATGAAAGTTTTCCCATCCTTTGGAAAGGCACTGAGAGGTTTTAATCAGTAGACAACATGGTCAGATTTCATTTCAGTTTTTTGTGTGATATCATAGACATTCAAGGAAAAGAGCAGTTAGAAGGTGTTCTAGCTGTCTAGCTGAGAAGTGAGGGAGTCTGAGTGAGGGCAGTGTCAGGGAAATAGATTCTGTGACCTTTAAGGGGTGTCGTCGCTCAGCAGGACTATTGAATGACTGATTGGATGGCAGTGCGGGTGAGTGTGACTCAGGCTCCGGCTGGGAACTGGGGTAGATGGGGTGGGAACTGCAGGAGAATGAGCCTCTTGTGCAATATGGGGGCTCTTCAGCCAGACTGTGAGGATTGTGTGGGGCAATCTCTGCCTGTCAAAGATGGCCTGGTTGACAGCCAGATCCAGACGACTTTATGAAAAAGCTTAATAGGCTTTATTTTCAATTATAAAATCACAAAGGACTCCATTCTGTAAAACAGAGTGAGTGTTCTGATGGTAGGAGCAAAGGAAATCAGTTTTATAGCTAGGAAAGAGTCTGAAGAAGGTAGAAATGAAAGCTAAAAGTAGATCAGTCACTTCAAAGTTACTCTCTTGTAAGGTGAGGCTGGAGAAAAATAACTGATTGGTTAACATTTTATCTTTTTGGTTTTTTTGGTAGTAAGGGTCAAGGTGGAGGGAACTTCATTACCATGCCAATTGAAACTGGCCTGTTTGGGGAAATTTGACTGTCTTTTTTTTTTTTCTTTCTTTTTATTGAGTTTATTGGTACAATCTAGGTATACAATACAGTTACATTCATTATTGAGATCCTGTACCTTTATATGATAGGTCTTGATTCTCATTTTTCCCCTTGTCCCTGCCCTCCCTTCACCCACTCCTCCCCTCCCTATTTACAAACACTTTATTTCCATTTTTTCAGTTTCTCATATTTTTTTCCTCTCATTACCTTTCCCCCACCCTTCCCACTTTCCCTACACCTTTAGCCCTTTACTTCCTATTTCACATTATTAATTATCTCATTAGGATCCTGTGTACTATTATAGTTTTTCACACCAAAGAAACTATTCTGTATTTCAGTTAAAGAAATCTCTGTATGAACATTAAAAATAGGGACTCCTAAAATAAAACTAAAAAGGAAAGTAAAAGAGAAAAGGCAATGATGTAACATCAAAAGAATCCTTAATTCTGGAGATGAAAATGGTCCCTGAACATGAAATTTGACTGTCTTATGACTGATTTCTCATGAGGTCGGATGAACAGCAAGTGTAGTTTGGTGATGTGGAATTTAAACATGAATGACTCTGTCTTGACTTTTAGCTTGGCCCATGCAGTAGCTTAGCAAGAAACGACGGCTTCCTGTAATTTTTATTTAATGCTTTTTTTCTTTTTATTATGCTTCTAGGTGGCAAGCTAACCAAAACTTAGGACATTAGTATTATGCTCAACATCAGTTTGGACTCCTGGTTGTTAAGATATCATATGTTGGTTATGGTAGCGTCATGGTTATACATTTCTTTCAGATTTTGTTGTTCCAGCAAAAGAAGAACCATTTGATGTCCAAATAATGGCTGCACACAAACATACAAAACTTTTCAGAGGGTAGAGTATACCAGAAAGATTGCTGTTATGACTTTTGGGAGGATATTACTGTGTTTCAGTTATGCTCCTTACGCAAGGTCCCCATAAATCAAACCAACTAAAATCAAATGGATCAAAGAAAGAGATGGACAAGGACACTACCCATCTTACTTAAGACTCTACAATACCCAATTAGTTACCTATGTGTACAAGAAGTGCCAGCGAAAACCCAGATTCCTCTTTGTTCATTTGTAGGAGTAGACCTATCCTCTGTCATACAGCACTGGGTTAAATTAAAGCAGAGTGCTAACTGTATAAGATAGATCACTGGGACAACTTGAACAAACAGTAGCATTAAGGATATTGCTAAAGTTATTTTCTGGTGGTCTAAGTGATCTCTTCAGGCCTGTAAAGATTTGGGTTTCACAGCAGAGCTCCAACACTGTCAAATTACCCCAGAAGCTATGACTTGTGGAGTTCTAAACACAGAATTACCCTCCACAATTAAAGAGACGGGCATAAACAAGGAAAAATTAAGACAAGCAAGAGTCTTATTATGATAAGAGAGATAATCATGATTGTTCCAATTACAGTCTTAGGAGCAACTATGATTGTCCTGATGATAGTCTTGGAAAAAGCTGCCTACAGCATGAAATTAATTCTCTTCCTTACTTATAGTTTGAATGTCTCTGGTTGTGACATTAGGTGTTTTGGTGAACTCTGTGTGGCTGTGTTAATCAGCTTTGTTTTACCGTAGCTGTATAGCTGAGACAATAACCTTACATGGAGGGGAAAGTTTGTTTTTGTTTTTTTTTTGACTCATGGTTTCAAAAGTTTTAGCCCATGGTTGCTTGATGTTATCCATTGCCTTTGAGCCTGTGGTGACATAGTATAACTGACAGGGAGTGTTTGGCAGAGAAAGCTGCTCTCATGGCAGCTAGGAAGCAAAAGAGAGAAAAGAAGGAGCTATGGCTCCATTATCTCCTTCAAGGACACATCCCAGTGACCTAACTTCTTTCCACTAGGTCCCACCTCCTAAAGGTTCCACACCTCCCAGTAGTGTCATAGAATGCTGCTCTAGACTTTTAGCTAATGGACCTTTGGGAGACACTTAATTAAACCGTGGTATCTGTCTTCATTTTCAAATTTGGACCACATTTCAGTTCATGAAATAGAGTAATTGTCCATTGGAGATTTTTTGTGATAAGAAAATCTGAGTAAGACCTGACTCTTTTCCTACCACTGCATGGTCAAATGCCATGTGTTGTATTTTTCTGGCTTCCATTTGATTCCTCCAGAAACTTCTGAAGGCGGTGGTACTATCCAGGCTGTGTTAGATCATCTGTTCGAGATGTGATGGCTCCTTTTATCATAGGAGTTTGTGTCCTAGTGATCACTGCAGCTTCTCTTTCTCATCTTTTCCTTGTGCATATTGTATCTGCAGTTCCTCCTCCTTCCTTCTTTCCACCTACTTCCCAGACTGACAGCTAGGTGACTAGTTTCTTGCTTCTTTCCTCTTGCTTACTTTTTAAATTGAGGGGTTGCATTTGCTGAGCAAAATGCAATTAGTAAGCATCTCCATTTGTTTAGATATGTGACTTGACAGAGACAGAAGTGAGCAAAGTCTGCAGGTGTTTTTTGCTCATCACTGTGCCAACTCCTCACTAGGCCATGCTTTCACAGTCACATATGGGTTCTCACTGTGATGCTGAAAAGTGGTCACATTGGTGACTTTGAAATCATTGGTGATCACAGAGCAGGGAAAATTGTGAGCCTCATAGTGGGATTGAACAAGTGTGAAGCAGTCAGCTCCAGCTTTGGTGTGCAGCTCAAAGACCTCAAAACATGGCAAAACTGCTAGCTCCTGTCCTGTCAATTTGATTTCATTATGCTGACAACCTCAGCTGGCATGGATCACAAAGAAGCAAGATGAAAACACAGAGCAGGAAAAAATCCTGGTATTCTTTTTCTAGAAATATAAAATATTACATAAAATATCATGCCTCAGTGGAAAAGAAAAGGAAATAATGCAAATGTGTTCAGCCCATGTTCTGGGTTACTATGAAGTTAGGATGAATAGCTCTGATACATGATGGAAAGATTAATCAACTCCTGATAAAAGATTCTATAACATAACATCAGTAGCTTGTATCCAAAGTATACAACTAACCACTTCAGAGAGATAAGGAAAAGGCAGGAAAAGTAAAAGACAATTCCAACATGAGAAATCTCAAAGAATTAAATTCAAGTAGTTGGTTGGGGTTGCACATGGTTGAAATCCCAGCATTCAAGAGGCTGAGGCAAGAGGATCACTGAGTTTGAGGCCAACCTGGGCTATATAGTGAGTGCAAGGCCAGCCTGAATTATGTAGAGAGACTCTGTCTCAACAAACAAACAATGAAAATAATGAACACATTTGTCTATTTATGTATTTATTTATTTATTTATTGGTACCGAGTATCAAACTCAGGACCTAAGTTGCACTTGCCAGGCAGATGTGGCACCACTGAGTTACATGCTCAGCCCTACATTTGTCTTTATTTTTTAAAAAGAAAAGAAAATTAAATACATGGAGGGAGGCTCAACCTTACTAGTAAGCAGGACAACACAGACAATATGAAATACAGTTTTGCATCTTTCATGTTGGGAAAAGTTTGAAGGTCTTGTAAGAATGTGAGAAATGGAACATCATTAGGAGGAAAGTAAAATGGAAAACAATTATGCAAGATTTAGTTGAGATGAAGATTGCCTGCTCTCAGACCCAGCCAATCCATTTCTTGGTATATTCCCAGGAAACTTTTCTGTGGATGAGTTGCATAGATCCTCAGAGATGATTGCTTCAGCCTCATTTGTAATAGGGAAAATTAGAAACAATGCATGTGGCCATCAGCGGGGAAGAGCCGAGCTGGTGGAATGACGTACTGGAATTTATGAATAGACCAAATAAACTCCACGGAGATGCACCCTGTATGTAAATCTTACATTTAATTCTGAGTAAAACACAGTCAGTCTTAGAGAATCATGCAGCATATGGTTCCTTTTATTTGAACAAACAAAAATTAAATGGCATATTGTTATGATTATGTATGGAAATAGTAATTTACAGACATGTGCAAAGAAAGGATACCAGCATCAGGAAGACGGTTCACATTTGGAGAGGGAGTAAAAATTAAATAAAGTGTAGAAGTCATTTTATCTTTATTTTTCTTCTTTTTCTTCCTTCTTTCATGATACTGGGGGTTGAACCCAAGGAAGGCCTTGTGTGTGCTAGGCAGGTGCGCGACCATTGAGCTACACCTCCAGCCCTTCAGTTTTGTCTCTTAAAGATCTGAGTTCAATAAAGATGGTCCTTCCTTACCATGGTTCATCTTAATGATTTTTCTGGCCTTATGGTCATGTGAAAATACACTCATAGAGCCATTTTTTTTTTTTTTTTCAAAGACAGGGCTTCAAACTGTAGTTCAGGCTGGCCTTAAATACATTATGTGTTCCATCCAGGTTGGCCTTGACCTTGTGGCAGTCCTGCTTCAGCATCTTAAGTGCTGGGATTATAGGCATGCACCACCATACCTGGCTTATGCAACCATCTTGTATTTTTGTTTTCAATATAATGTCAATAAATTATGTGAAATATTCAGCACTGTGTTGTAGACTAGCTTTGTGTTGAGATGATCTGCCCAACTGTAGGGTCGTGTAGATGTTCTGGGCACATTTAGAGGTTAGGAGCTATGGAGTCTGGTAGGTTGGGTGTATTGCATGCATTTCAACTTACAGAGGTTTTATTGGGATATATCACATTGTAGATTAAGGAGCATCTATTTGGTAAAATATAAAGGCATGAAACCTTGGTGGGAACACAGATGTCATTTTTTAAAAAGATGATGTGTGCAGTATTTCTGGCAGAAAATAAAGCTTCCATATCTTTGCAGCCTGTCGCTTTGTCCCTTTGTCCAGAGGCAGTGCTACTGAGTTTGCTTCAGCATGGATGTTTCTGCTACAGTGACACTCTGGAGAGGGGAAGAAAGTGACGTATGTGATGTGTGTAGGACTGAGCGGCCTGTGCCGATGGCCCCCGCCACTACTTTTCACTCTTTTTCCTGGGACCTGTGTGGGATTGAACTGCTGACCACCACATACTGTCCCTACTAAGTCCACAGTGTGTGTGGGAAACTCCTAAAAGAAGAGAGAATTCCCTGCTGAGTCGCCCAGCCCTTATGAACAAGGTTCTTTTAAATGAGTGTTAACTTGAGCTCTGTTTTGATAGACTCACGCCTTCCTATTTTAGTCCAGAGTCTAGAGAGAGACTAATTCCTGGCTAGGTTGGAAAGTCCTTTGTTTTGGGGTACTTTTGCTTTGTCAAGTGATATATAAAATGATCGTTAGTAACCACTCTGCTTTTTCCTGTTTATTTAGCTCACAGATGTGTACAGTATGTCACCATCTCTGGGTCGATATTTCATGTCAGTTGAAATAGTGGACTTCAGGTAAGAGTATGGATCATTATGTTTTGGTCTCTTTCTCTGGAAAAAAACATCTACCTACCCTTCCTGCCCAGGTTATCATTTACCCAGGAAGACTCTCCGGAGCTTCAGAGTAGGAAGAAACCAGTAAGAGAACCACAGAGGCTGTGCTAGGGTGGTCTTTGGGTACAAATGAGCCCTCTCAAACTGTACATTACCCAAACCATAATATTAGCAGTCCAGGGAGAAGAAGCATGTAAAGCCAGTGGTGACACTGTGGGATAGCGTCTTAGTTACTTATCTTGTCACTGACACACAATACCTGACACCCACAACTTATTTTGGCTCACGGTTTGTAGAGGTTTCTCTCCATGGTTGAGGGGCTCCGATCTGCCAGGTGTGGTGGAAGGCCCTGGGCAGAGGGAAGCTGCTCAAAGCATGAAAGATAGGAAGTAGAGAGAACAAGGGAGGAGCTGGGGAGGGAGATAAACTGTTCCATGGGACCCCGCAATGACTCACTTCTTTCAGCCAGACCCCACCTCCTAACATCAAGCCAGCTAGCTATACCACCCCCATAATCCAGTCACCTCCCCCAAATCCTGCCTGGAATCATATGAAGCCTTCAGGGGACATCAGATATAAATCATAATAGGTAAGATCAAAACAGACCAGAAATCTACACAGTGTCGGCTCACTTCTTCCTCCTTTAGAGGCCCTGTTATGGTTTGAGTCTAGATGTGCCCTCAGAGTCTCAGGCAGTCCTAGCGGGACTTTTCGGAGGTGGCTAGATTTGGGTGTGTGCTGCTGGGATTAAGGGTGTGTGATTACTAAATTAGTCCGTTGATTTTTTTTTTTTTTTAGCACAGTTCTGGGTGTGGACAATGGGAAGGCCCACCCTGGGTGTGGGTGGCACCACCCAAAAGGGGAATAACCTGAAAGGGATAAAAGGGAGAGGCTTCTGTTCTGCTTGATAGGGCTGCTGCTTCTGCTGCTTGTTGCTATTTCACTGCTTTAATGCCTTCTGCCTGCCCCTCTGCCTTGCCATCCTGCTTGGAACCAGCTGACTGTGGACTGAGACCTCTACAAACCTCGAACCAAAATAAATCTTTCCCCCTTTAACTTTGGATGTTGGGTGTTTTGTCTCAGCAAAGAGAAAAGTAACTAAGATAGGCCCCCTAGGCACATGCTACCTAAAGGTGACAACCTTGACATTGGCTCCTTTAATCACAGAATGGGGACAGAAGCCTGTCAGAACCCGTACACTGCATCAGCCACTTTCCCACTGCAGAAACAAAATAGCTGACACAGCTTGAAGGAGTAGAAGTCTATTTGGGCTCACGGCTTCAGTCCAGGGCCAACTGGACCCAAGGCAAGAGTGACATGGAAGAAGGGCAGGATGGAGAAAAAGATGCTCAGCCCGTGGCAGTCAGAAGGCAGAGAAAGAGAGGAGGACCCAGGGACAAGAATGCACCCTTCCAGGTCATACTCTCGATGACTTACCTCCAGCCAGGCCCAGCTCCAAACAACCTAACAACTACAGCACTGCCATGATCCAGTCCCCTTCCAACACTGTAGAAGTTTTATACCTAAACATAACACCCACTCTCCTATATCCCTTGACCTAGCATCCAATTTAAAGATTGTGGCAGAGGTGAGTGAGGGACGATCTTGAGAGCCTTTAGGGTCTAAGAACCCAGTGCTACCTTGTAGGTTAAGAGGAGCTGGGACTATATAATGGGGGTGGGCTAGACACTGGGAAAACATCAGGAAAATGAGAAACATGGTAAAAATCAGGCCAAGGCTTAATGTTAGAGAATCTGTTTAAAAATTATTTGATAGAAGACCCCAAAGACTTAATGATTGTGCACAAATAAATTCTTCCAGAAAAAAAATTTTTTCTTCCAAAGTCCAAGTCTAAAATATTTGCTCAAGAAATAAAAGCACTGGGGATTTAGCTCACCATATCTGCCTTGCAAGTGTAAGGTCGTGAGTTCAATCCCTGGTACAAAAAACAAAAACAAAAACAAAAACAAAAGAAAGAAAAACCTTCCCTTCCAGAAGCATACTTGCATGTGGCAAGAGACAGCCACATTTCTGACATTTTGTATCTGTAGAGGGGTCCTGACCTTGGTCTGGGAACGGTCCAGGGGGAACTTGGAAAGTTCCCTTTGACTTAGCAGTTGCTTGACCACTTCAGTGTGTGTGTGTGTAGCCAGGGAGCTGAGACAAAGCCCACAGGATTCACTGCTTCCCCAAAAGTTCTTTTTCTTCCCTCAAAATTTAGATGTATGAAAATTTATCCTATGACTTGGCATGAGGACTGGGGTGAAGTAGCCACACTGGGTTGGCAGCCTGATCTCCTTTAGCTTCTGGCCTGATATTCTGAAAGTCCATCCTTGGCCCTTTTCATTAGTCACACCAAGTCCTTGAGAATGGGCGTGCAGAGTGGCTGCCTGTCTACACATTGACCATCATCAGCAATAGCGAAAAGGCAGAGCCAAGAGGATAAATGATGTCACCTGCAGAGTAGTGTAGTTGGATTGAAGTTGGTTTTTTCGTGGTGCTGAATTCAGAACTCAGGGCCTTGTACATGCGAAGCAAGCACTTTACCACTTCCCCAGGCCTGAAGTTTCAAAGTCGTTTTTAGTCTGCCTTTAGTGGAATCTTTGAAATTGTTCATTTCCTCAAAGTCCCAACTCTATATTATTCATTTGATCTGGAGAGTTTGGAGCATTTTTTGGCCATAGTAGATGGAATTGTTAACCACAGTGTGAAATGTGATTATTGGCTTATGCGGTCTATGACCACAAGATGGAGCTCTTTGGCTTTTCTTAGCAGAGACAATCTGCTTCACTGCTGACAGAACAGGGAATCCATAAAACTTGCCCGAACATGATGGTCTCAGCTGAGACCTCTTAATTATTTTATTGCTGGTCCTTAATCTAGGTCATCTTAAATTAAAGTGATAGAATAACTTTGAAAATCCTAAATGCTGAGGTAGTATTTAAAAAAAAAATGGCCTTCTGAAAAATGAAGTATAGACCTGTGATTATTTTTACTCTGAAAGGGGGAACGATATGCTCAAAGAAGAAAGGTTAGTGTTTTGGGGGTCCCATTGGTGAGAATTAAAGATGGTCAGGGCTGGAAATTTAGCTCAGTGATTCTGCCACCTGCCTCCTAAGTGCAAGGTCCTGAGTTTGATCCCCAGTACAAAAAAAACAAAAAACAAAAAAACACTAGAAGATGTTGGTCATTCTATTCAAAGGGTCTCTGAAAGTGGACATGGGACAGAAAAGTTTCTCATTTTGAAGACAAACACAGGATGTATGACTCACAGCTGGGGCACACTCTCAGGGATGCAGAAGTTCTCAACCAGATAATGGTAGGAAGTTTTGGGCCCTACCATAGGTTACAAAAAGAACTAAACTAAATAGTTCTGACATGCACTTGGAGCGGGGACCTTCTCTGAGAACAGGAATATAGGAGGAGAAAAGGGCCAGCTTTCTGGCTTGTGTTACGCTAGGTGACTTTTGTGGACAGTAGCTGGATTATGGCACCCCCGTGGCTCTCCCATTGGATTCCTAAGAGGGAGGGAGGTAGAGAGGGGAGGCTATGTGATGTGCCTAGAGTAGAGGATTCTTCAAGATAGAAAATGTGCAATAAACAAATGTTATTGTGAAAACCAACTTCCTCAGTTTCAGTGTGATTCTGTCAAGAGATCGTGATAGCTCTGTTTGGCTTGACTTTCAGGGGTGAAAATTCCACAGCCACCTATCACCTGCAGTTTGGGGTACCACTGGAAGACCACGGCTTTATGAAGTACATGATGAGTGAGGAGTTGGTACTGGGCATCTTGCTGCAGGACTTCCATGACCAGAGCGAACCTGGCTGTGAGGGGCTGGGGCTTGACCCAGACTCTCTCTTGCTCTATGGTAGGTAGAGAAGTAGAGAAGTCAGAGCTGGGATGGTGAACAAGTGAACAGATGGAGGACAGTTGATTTGGCTTGGCATCTTTTGTGGCTTGTTCCATGCTGTGGAGGTCACACAGTTCCTGCCCTCGGGAAGTGGATAGAATAGTTGGAAAATATTACGGAAAGAATGGACTGTGAAGTTGGAGCCCTGCTCTAGAGAATGTGAGCTCTGTGATCAGCACCTTCTTCGCCTTACTCAGCCAGCCCTCACTGTTTCCCTTGTCAGAACTTGTCACAGAGAAAGGTGTGGTGGTGCATGCCTGCAATCCCCGCTGCTCCCAAGGCTGAGGCAGGAGGATTGAAAATTCCAGGTCAGCCCAGGAAGCATAGAGTAGATTGTGTCTCATAATAAAAAGTGAAAAAACAGTTGGAAGTGTAGTTAAGAGGCACAGTGCCTCTGGATTCAATCCCCAGGACCACAAAAACAACAAATACCTATATAAGGCATTGTATAGTTTAAAATAATGGCACTTTATAGGCATTCTTATGATTAGATCACAAAAGAGAGTTGAATGTTAAAATTTCTTCAGTATCCAAAAGGCCAAATGAGCATGTCTTTACCATGAGTTATACCAAAACAAGCAGACAATAGATGTTACTTTCCTTTTGAAAACTGCTCAGTGTGTGCATGCACATGTGTGTGCATGTGAGTGCACTGACTGAAGAGTTAACTTTCGCAGTTCAGAATTGACAGACGCTCCAGTTTTACCTAAGACTGCGTTCAAACCGACAAACCAGACAAAAATATAAATGTTTAAAATAATCTTGATTTTTAAATTAAATCTTGATTTGAATCTTGACTTTTAAATGAGTGACCTTGTTCATTTGTGTTTTGCTTTTCAGAATGAAGCAGTGGAGGCCAGTCTATGTTAGAAAGCTGTGCTCCCCTGAGTTTTGGAGTCAAAGAGAATCAATTCTGTGATCTTGACCAGAGGGCAGAGCCTGTCAGCCCTCCAGATCCTGCACAGAGATGGGTCATCTCCAGTCCCACAAGGCACTGGCTGAGGCCAGTCCAGCTGGCTCAGTCTGGAGAAAGGAGGAAGCCAGGCCAGGTGGGGGAGATGAAGTATGGCAGCCCCCACAAGGGAGATCCAAGTATTCTTGAGACACTGGCTGCCTCCACTCCTGCAAGGATCCTTCTTTCTCTTAAGCACAGGGTGGTGCAGCAATGCCTTGTCTTAGGCAGAATTCCGCTAATCTGTGCTGGTGCACAGGGATAGCCGGCAGTCATGTGAGGGAGAATTGAATCAGTTCCTCACTAGAAAATCACCCTCTCTCCTTCCCACATCTGTGTCTGTGTCTGTGGCATGTGCATGTGTTTTGTGGTATTCAGGATGCAGTCCAGGAGCGCTCTACCACTGAGCTATATTCCCAGACCCTCTCCCTTTAGAAATTTGAGACATGATCTCACTAAGTTGTCCTTGCTGGATGTGAACGAGTAGTCCTCCTGCCTCAGCCTGCTCAGTGCTGGTCACAGGTGTGCCCACTAAGCCCAGCTTCATAACTGTATTTGATCTACCTCCAAGCCAGGAAAAGGAAGGTGTGAGAAAGAGGAAGGTGCCTTCCAAGACCTAAGAAGCAGAGCTCTATGTCTACTTTCATGGCTGAACCTGGTATTTTAACAAATCTTTAACGTTGCTTTAGATACATCATCCAATGCTTCTGCGAATGTGTGTGTGTGTGTGTGTGTGTGTGTGTGTGTGTGTGTGTGTGTATTTTGCTCCTTCTCATGGTTCTTGGGACCCATGAGCACCTCCTTTGGAAACGTGTGTCCTTTTGAGTTTCAAACATACCTTCATCCTTTTGGATAGTACTTCACCTCTATTCTTTACTTCCATCAGAGAATCATTAAGATAGGCTAGCTTCTGCGTCTGATGCCACACAATGGCTGTGTATCACCCAGCATCACTGGCCCTCTGGAGGACTCAGTGTCTTCCAGGGTTCATTATGGGCCTTATTACAGTTGGTTGTGAAACAGGAAGAACCACCAGCCTTTTGAAATAAATTGTTGGAAGCCTATGCCTTCTCATTTTGGGGTTGGGAGGAATGTTATTGACTGTATCAGTCATTGATGCAAAATTGTCTGTTATGAAGGAACAGTATTTGTGTTGTTGTTAAAATTGCCTTGCTATAAATTTTTCAGATGAATTTTGTGCTCATATGATGAGAGATTCCTAGCCCTGGTATAAAAATAAGATCTGACATGGGTGAAAGTCAGTGTGAGAGGCAGCTGCATATGGCTGTGTGTTGGTGATTTGACTTGAGCTCTTTATGGACCAGGGTTCAGAATAATGTGAATTTGCTTTGTTATTTAACTAGAATATACATGTAATGTAAGAACACATTGTCTCATTGTAAGGGCAGCTTCTTAAACTAGTGAATTTCTTTGTATTTTTTACATGTCAAATGTGAACCTTAGTTTGTCTGTACTTTTCAGAAAATAATGAAGACTTTCAATGGAGATTGATTTAAAGCATTTACAATAAATTATTTTTGCATCTTTATGTTGTATTCACCTTTGCTGTATTTATGTTGAGTCTCCAGGCCTGGGATTGGAAGTGATCTTTTTCTGTCCTTGATGGTAGCTTCCTCTTCTGTGGGAAGAAGGTAGAACTGGGTTTGGTTGTGCTGGGCAGTGTCCTCCTCACTGTATGGGGAAAAGCAGAGTGAAGCTATCTGTCCCCTCCTCTTCCTTTGAGGGTCCTTTCTGGCAGGACTAGGTATGCAAAAGGGCTAGAAGGATGGCCTCATCTGAGTCTGGAGACAGAATTTGGTTTTGTTCTTTTCTCCTTTGAAAACCAAGTTGCAAGTAGCTTGCCTTGGGTTTTGACCACTTTGAAGTCATGGAGCAAGAGAGAGGACTTCTTGAGGTTTGGCTTTTGGGTCCAATTGACATGGAAAGAACTAAGTTGTGGGCCTAAGGCATTTTGAAGTGTTTGAAAAAATACACATGCATATACTATACATTGTTTTGCCATCAGAGATAAATTTATTGGTCATCACACATTGTAATTATTAGCATAATGCCAGTGCTCAGTAGTGTTCAAAAAATGTCTGCAAAATAATTGGAGGGTGTGAGATGAAAAACTGCTTTTCTCTGGAAGTCACTTCAATACAGATAAAATGCAGATAGCTAGATTAACAAAAATACTCTTCTGGCTCCACCAACAGAAATTCTAGCCACACATGTTCAGTAATCTCTGCTTTCTTTTTAATTTAATTTTGTTGTATAGATTTTAAAAAATTAATGATACTGGGGATTGAATCCAAGGCCTTGAGATTACTAAAATGTAGCTTTACCACTGTGCTACACCCCCAGATTCTATGTGATGTGTCCTATGGACGGCTATAGTGGATGCCAGAGGGGAAGACGATAATAAGAAAGGAAGATATTCCCGTTATTCCTATGAAATAGGAAACAAGGAAAAAACTATAACCACATTTACCTGGGCATGTTAGTGCACCCCTATAATCTCAGCTTTCTGGGAGCCTGGGGCAGGAGGATCACAATTTCAAGCCCAGTCTGGACAACTCAGTGACTTAGTGAGACTCTGTCTCAAAATTATAAAGTGCTGGGAGTGTAGCTCAGTGTAAATTCCCTGGGATCAATTCTCAGTGCAAAACAAAACAAAGCAAAACAAACACACAAACAAACAACCCTCCTATTTAACACCAAAGTTTAAATGCAAAAATTAAAAACAACTGTGGCTGGGGATGTAGCTCAGCAGCACAGCACCTGCCTGCCAAGCGTGAGGCCCCGATTCAATTTCTGGTTACCCCTCCCCACCAGAAAAATTTAAGACCAAGTGTAGGTTGTGGGAGGCCATAGAGAAGAGGAGTCAATGTAGTTTAACTGAAGGAGAGACTCAGGCTGAGCTAGATTCACTGGTGGGATCTGAATAGCAGATTTGCCTCCCTTGGCACATGTTCATGTGTTCCTAGGATGAAGTTTAATCTCTTCTTTTCCTCTCATATGTGAATTCTTGCCATGAACTCCTTACCTATTCAGAGTATGATCAGCACAGACAAGAATGAGAAAAATAGGGCTAGAAATGTAGCCCAGTGGTACAGAGCTTTCCTAGCATGCTTGAGGGCTTGTGTTCAACCCCCAGCAATGTAACAAACAGGAAAAGTAACCCAGAGTTCTCCCTTCTCTCATTACTGTTTCGTTGCATGATTTAAATCAGGTAATTCATACTATTGCTGGTAGCTTTATTAGAAATTGTTGAGTCAGCATAAACAAAACAAAACAAAAGAAACCACAGTGTGCCCTCCCATCCCCCATAGCTGGAGCCCTAAATCCTAGACAGTGGGAAGGACCAGGCAGAGTCCTACAGTTTGAGAGGCCAAGCCCACCTACTAGGCAATCTCACATGATGAATGGCCACAGTCTCAGGGGTACCCATGGTCAGGCTCAGCTCAGGCCTGGTTGACTTCTACAAATCCACAGGGTCACAGGTGGTTGGGCAAGAGATGAATTGAGAGGTGTGGCCATGGAAGACTAGTGAAAACAGCCACTCAGTGCTTCCCTCCAGTACTTGCAAAAGGACCCTTAAGGAAGGTATGAGGGACTTGCATTAATTTACTAAACATTTGGCAGAGACAAAGTCCTTTTAGCTGAAGCAAACCTTCTGAAATTCAGAGTCTTGCTTTAAAAAAGACTAGAGTCAGGCAAATGGAAATAGAACCTCCTGGGAAGTGCACCTTCCGGAGAGGCACCTCTTCTGCTCATGCCCTTCAGTCAGGAACGTTTGCAGTGCCTGTCACCTAGGTTTGTTGGAACAACATCAGCATTTGAACTTGTTATCAGTGGTAGGTTTGCCCACTACTATTCCATTTTGAAAGAGTATTTAGGGCTTATATAGAGATGCTTATATTTATAGATGCTATTATTAATAGTAAGTGTGTAAATGGAAACCACAGAGCCTGCAGGGGCTTCATGTGCTGTACCTCCAAATTTGGGCTGTGCACAGTGTGAGGTCTGGTGTAGGGAAGGGGAGCTTTCTGGTTACATGTGTGATTGGCAAATGTGGTTCAAATGCTCAGCCTGAGTTCCAAAAGCAGTGGCCCTTTAACTGAGGGGTTGTATCCCTAACCCATGAAATCATACATAATCTGTGTGAATGTGCATTTTCTGCCAATAGGGTATACAGAATTCTTAAATCTAGGTAAGACAAAATCAGCATATATATGGCAATTTTTTTACATTAAAATTTATTTACTAGAAGAGTCTATGTTCTGCATATTATATATAATTCTACATATTCTATCATCTTTACATTAAACAATTTTTCTAATAATTTTTATTTTTTTAAATTACTAATATTTTTGATTGACAAGTAATGTGTACATTGCAGTGGGTATTTTGAAACACTCTCAAAGAGCTCTTCTGCTCAAAAATATGTTTTTTTTTCCCCTTATAAAACCTCATTACAAGAACAGCTTTTTAAAATTAAGCATTTACATGTAATACACTCCTGATAAAAGACACGTGTTTGGACAGGTAATATTTTCACGAGATAAAGCTTAAACAAATATAACTTTTTCACATTAAGAACATTTCAACCAGCCACCTTCTGCAATGGATTTGTAACTATGTGGAAAATTCCAGAACAAACTTATCAGTCTGATGTTTCTGCCTTGCTGGAAGATTACTTGGTGGATCACTACATGGGTTGGCATCTTAGCCACACATCATGAAAGATTGCTTTACCCTTTGATGTTACCTCTGCTATCTAGCAGATAGATTAATCCTCCAATTTATGGGGGGCCTCCAAATCATAGATTCAAGGTCACAGAGGATGGGGAGAGAGAATCAGGATTCAGATCGCTGCTTATCTGTCTTGGAGCCATACTACTCCCCCTAAGCCATGTGACATCTTGTACACTGTTTCCTGCTACCACAAACACCTCTTATACCTGAGTGCATCTCAGTCAAAGATCAAAGTCAGGTTTCCATGTGAAAGAAATTTACTGAAAATTAGAAGTTATCAAAAGTCTCAGAACACCTGTTTTGGCTCACTCAAACTCAGTCCACTGGATTTATTGTCCTAGGCACTTAGCATATTTTTAAATAGCTGTTGCTTTGAGCACAAAATAGTAATGGTCCACTGGTTGACTCAACAAACGTTTTGCTATTTTAACATCCCTAAAATTAGGACGGTGGTTATAAGTTACACACAATAGCAACGACCCAGGTGTGAATGTAGAAATAGTCTAATTTGCTAACTGTTCTTGGTCTCTCTCTTCTCAACTGTGGCTTAATATTTTCATACTGTTTTTATTGACACCTGCTTTTATAAGCTATATTGATAATTAAATATATTCCTGTTAAGTTTATCTCAAACTGATGGTTTAGGGCAGAACACTACAAAATTGTTTTCTGGAAAGTGTCAAAATATAAATATTTTTGGCTTTATAGGACCTATTCATCTCTTCCATGGTGTAGCAACCATAGATAGCATGTAAATAAATGAGTCTGGATGTGAGCCAATAAAATTTTATTTATGTAACCAGGTGATGGGCCAGATTTGGTCAGTAGCCCATTGTTTGCTTCCCTTAGTTGAGGGGATAGGCATAGTTCTGAGAATACTAAAGATGATGGAAAATAAATCAAAGCCTATTGAGGAGTGCTTATGAGAGAAAAATAGGTGTATACATTATTTTTTCCATGTGAACATTTTAATCATATGTTATACATGCCATATTATTTAATACTACACCAAAGACTCTTCTATATAGTAGATTCAAGGAGGGTTGAATTAGAAGCCAGTAAATCAGGCTCTAGATAAGATTCTACCACTAATTTTAATGTATCATAGGGAAAATTATTCTCTCTGAGCCAAAAGATAGTAGGATTAAGGACTATTAAAGGACTGCTGCTTTCTCAGCCTCTGATGCTATGAAAGTTGTGTTACTTACTTTTCTCTCGTTGCTGAGACAAAATACCGGACATCCAAAGTTAGAGGGAAAGGGTTTATCTGGATGACAGTTCAGAGAGGTTTCATTCCATAACTGGCTGGCTCCAAGGTGGGGATGGCAAACAGGCATTGCAGAGGAGAAACATGACGTGCACAAGTAGCAAACGAAACAAGGGAGTTTGACAGCATCTTTCTGCCCCTTTTATTTTATTCAGTCCACCAGGATTAAGGAAGTGCCAAACCAATTATTCACATATAGTGGTTTAGTAATCACACACCCTTAATTCTAGCATCACACATTCCAGATTCAGCCACCTCTGAAAGAGAAAGTCCCACCTCATCCACATGAGGCTTTTGGGGGGCACCAAAGCACAAACCATAACAATCGTCTTACTAAGAGTCAGAGAGAGGGTCTGTGGATACAGTTCAGTGGTTGATTGCTTGCCTAATATCCATAAGTCCATAGGTACGATACCCAGCACTGCCAAAAAGTTATGGGGAGAACTAAAAATTTCACAAACTCACACACACACACACACACACACACACACACATATTATACAAAAAATAAAACAGTACTGGAACTTTCTGATTCAGCTCACATAATTAACTAAGCCATGGGGGCAGTGAGCCAAAAGACACTGTATAAAGAACATTTCTGAGGCACAGGGAGTAAGGGGAATATCACACTCCCGTGGGGATGGAGGCTGAGCTGGAAAATCACCGTAATGTGTGAGTTTCCCCCAGGGGAACACTTATTATGATGAATAAGTTGCCTTGTAACTTCAGAGGACAATCATGATACTTTATACGAACCTGGTCAGGTGGAAGGCTACCACAGGAGGACTGAGAGTTTGAATACAGCCTGGGGAATTTAGTGATGTAGAAAGATCCTGTCTCAAAAAAATTTAAAAAGGGCTGGTAATGGAGTGTGAAGGCCTTGGGCTCAATGCTCAGTACTTCAAAACAAAAACAGAGCAACTTCCCCAAATCCCCAAAACAACAAAAACCAAGGTAATTCAGAAGAGTAGAATCCTTTGTGGTGTACACAGCGACAGGGGACCAGGGAGGTCTTCCTGCTCCAGAGTCCTCCCAACAACACCACTTTGAGCCAGATTTGGTCATGTTGTTCTCAGATAGTGGGGTTCAGGATAAATTGGTTAATTTGTGGATAGCAGATGCTGAGCAGGCTCTGAAACACTGTGGTTTGCAGGCCATGCTCCGCGGACCGGGAAGTAAGCTAAAGAGCTCGGCGACTCAGTTCTGCTTCAGTCCCAGCCCCAGCCACTACTTTCATCTGCTGGTGCTAAACAAAGGCAGTCCAAGCTCATCACTGTAAACAAGAAGATTGAGTCTCAAAAGGGGCCCTACATGGCCCTGGCTGTTGGAAGGAAGGAAAGGACATTCTGCTAGGTATGAGAACTTCGTATTCATTTTTTGGGCAAGGTGAATGCTTCGGGGTGGCAGGCACCCGGAGAAGTGAATACTCTGTCTCAGTGCCTCCCAAAGTCCCTCTGGGCCTGTTAGCCTTGCAGGGGATGTTCTCATAGAGTTCTCCAGTGACCTCCTCTTCAGCAGAGTTCCCTGATGGCCACTTCCTGGGGGCCCTAGGATTGATAAGGACGTAGCACACCTCATCCAAATAGGTCTGGTTAGCACCATCCTGCTGATCAAAGGAGAACCATCATCAAGATTCTCCTTACACTTCAATTTCAACACTGGCCTGATGCTGCATAAGGTCTGTCCCTTTCATGACCACTTTTTCTATGTCTCTTGTCCATTTTTCTTAAATTGCTGCTCCCATTCCAACCTCTAGACCTTCTAACCAAAGTACTCATATTGCCCAGGGCATACACCTACTCAGATGTCTTTTCTACCCATGTTTCAGAGTGACACCTGGCCGCCCTGTCCCAAAATCTCAGGACTCTTGGGCAGCCTATTCTGATAAAAGAGAACAATGTAATGTCATCTAAATGTGATAAGGTTGTAATGTTTAACCACTCATTACAGAGATCATGGCATTACTACAAAGGGACAACAATCCAGGGGAAGTCTCACTTGTGGTAGAATCTCAGATTAAAATAAAAAATACAAAAATAAAAAAATATTAAAATATACCATGTAAAGGTACAAGTTCCAAATGATGAACGCAAATGTATTGTATACCTAAAATGTACCAGTAAAATAATTTAAGAGGGGAAAAAACATGGAATGCAGAGAGGCAGAAACAAAAACAAAAACAAAAACAGTCAGCCAAGGGGAAAATCATGGGTTTTTAGAGTGAGACTTGGTTGTGAATCTTCTTTCAGCTGTCTAGTTTTGAGGGATATCCCTTCATCCCTCAAAGGGATGTTGGGGTTGTTGTGACGGTTATAGGAGATGATTTCTATAAAGCACTCAGCACACTAAGTGTCGTAAACAAAGTTCTAACCAAATAGTCCCTTCACAACCCTGGCATCTAATGTCTTCTACACCAGGGTCAGAAGGGGTCCTTATTACCTTGTTGGAAGAAGATGTTGTTCCTTTATCTGCAGAAAGAAATACACTCAATGAATTTCAGGTCATGGGGAGATTTGAGGAGTGTGAGGATTGGACTATCAACAACTAGAGAACCAAAAAAAGAGCTGGGGTAGCCCTTGTCAGGCTCTTTGATCTACGGAATTTCCCTGGAGGAGGGAGTCACAGGACCATCTAAACAAGAAATAGCCAGAGGTTGCTCAGACTGAGTGGTCAAGTGGAGGGCAACATATTTGGTGTAGCACTGGCTAGGGAATCACACTCCTTCCCTCCCTCCTTCATCTCTCTTTCCTTACTCAAGATCCATCCTGTACTGCACAAAGCCCTGGGCTCACAAACAATCCTGTCCTCCACAGGCTCTCATGGGAGGCAGGTGAGGGGCTGTGGTAGACCATGGTGCAGAGAACAGGATGCTCTTCCTACTGTAGCTGACAGAGAGTGGTGGTAGATTGGACCTTGGCGCTCAAGGAAGGTTTCACAGAAAGGGAAGCTCTTGGGCTGGCTATTCCCATTCCTGTAGCTGCTGGCAGACAGGAACACAAGCAGGCCAATTTTTCCAAAGCCAATATACCTTAAACCTGCTGTTTCTGTCCACTCAGCAGAGAGGCAAATGAACTCTTGCTACCCCCTCATAAAAGGGCCAGCTCAATAAGCAAACAGGTGCCCTCCACCGAAGCCTGACCAGGAAGCAGATGTGTCTAGGTAGTTACCATATGGTAATTGAAAGCTCTAAAAGGTTCTGAAAGTGCGTGTGTGTATAAACACACACATATATGTATATAAATATATATAGTCACATATACATGTATATATATATAGTCACATATATATGCATATGTATATATATATATATATATATGCCTCCCACTTCTCACATCTCCAACTAAGACTTCCCTAATTATAATTACAAGAAAAGGGCTTGTGAGTTTTAGCATCATGGGTCTAATTTCTATCAAGTTAGGATCCACCATCGCTTGGGTGAAATGACTAGGACTAGGAGGGCTAGATTATTTGTTTACATACTTCACAGAGCTGACTTTTAAAACTCAGGGTGTGAATGAATTACATCAAAGATGGTGAACCTTTTAGAGTTTTCAGTGATACACACACCCTGCTGTGGCACACACCACCGCTGAACTACACCCTCCTCTTTAAGGCAAGGCCAAAACAGTTTTCTTCTTCAGAAATACAATTGCCTATCTCAAGCTTGCCCTTTCTTCTTATTATTCTCTTACATGTGGATGCTACTCACCACCTTGTCTTTCTTAGATTCTTCTCTTTCCTTAATTTGAACTCTCATCTGTCCCCAGACACTATAGCACCAGCCTCCTAAGTGGTTTTCTGGTATCTGCTCTGGCTACTCCCTAATATAGCTTCTCTGCCAGCAACCAAAAGGCCATCTGTTTAATGCAAATCTGATCACACCTGCCTTTGTGTAAAGCCCTTCAAAGAGCTATGGTCGATCACAAGACAAAGATCTAAATCCATAACTTCCCCGTCCCTAGCCACTTCGTGTCTTAGCTGGCTTTCTTGATGTTCCCTATCAGAACCTTTTGATTCTAAGTTTTATATTTATTCTCCTCAGTTAATTCCCTCCATCTACAAACCACAAGGCACTAAGTGAAGAACATGGAGATCAATAAGGTGATCTCTGCTTTACTGACCTCACAATCTAGTGGGGGAAAACAGACCTACAGATTGTAGCAAATGTGTAAGTATTATACTTGAAATATGATGGGATAGCGATGACTTACTTTCCTTTTGGGAATCTTGGCTTGCTTTAAAAATATGTATTCTTTTCCTGTTTTAAAAAGAGAAAAATAATTTGTTTGTTACAATATTCAGGAACTCTAAAATTACACTAACCTGTGTAACAATTTAAAACCTTTAATTTCTTAAAATTGTATGTGTCTTACCAAAACTTTATTCAACACACAACATTTAGAAGATAGCAAAGAAGAAAAATGAAGATGAGGACAGGTAGAAGTCCTCCTATCTCCTCCTCTCCTCCTTTTTGCCTTCTAGTATAGAATTTATTCATATAGTAAGGGAACTATGGTGCTGTTATAAGTTACCAGAGATTTTTTTCTGGTAATCTACAGGCTTATTTTACATCACGAGATTATTTTGAAGCCTAATCTGTGATCTCCAAAACAAAAGCATAGCTTCCATTAGCACATATAGCATAAAAGACCCCTGGAGTAGAAGGAATGTAAATATGATGAAAATTTATTATCATAGGAGACAGGGCAAATTTGCTATAAAGACTATGGCCATATGTTCAGGTTTCCTAGGTCTGGTTCATGTCATTGTCAATCACTTAGCAGTAATTAGCTATTTTTAGCATCACTTTGACTCTCAACATTATCTGAGTCTGGACAATAAATTATATTATCACCTTGACTACACATTCTAAGAGTAAGGGACAAAAATGTGTTCTGTGCATGGTGACCCTGGGATTTGCAGCGTGAACGAGTCTTCACGTTAGTAGCCAGTTTCATTCTGACATAAGGTTTACCCATTAAAGGAGAATATACAGCCCATGAGACAATTGTTCCTGATTCCTACCAAGCTTGAAGGATTGCTTCACTGAGTGGCTGTCAGTCAGATTTCATCTGGGCTCAGTGCCAAGCTTCTCCTGGTTGCAGATGGCAGGGAGTTCACAGGTAACATACAGCAAATACCACATTGAAACCACTTGGGGAAATAACTCCTAAGAGCAGCTCTCAACTTACCATGGAAAGCAGAAACATCTTTCAACAGAGTGGTGACCCCAGCATCTGAAATACCCAAGAGAAATGATACAAAGTTACAGGACTCATTTCTGAAGCTTTGCTAAAGTGGTCCCTTTCCCTTTGCCATTTCTTAGGGGAAAATCTTTTGTTTCCCCAAGCAAGCCTTCATTTTAGATGACTTGGATGTGTCAGTTCCTAATCAGGGAGAAGAAAAGCCTTTCTGCTGTATCTCAGCAAAGGAGAAAGGTTTTCTCATCTCCAATTCTTATGACTTTTGGCTCTTTTGTGATGATGACAACGTAAGAGGCATTTTCAGGAAATTGAGGTGTAAGCATATAGACATTTTAGTGATCATTTTGTTCAGGTATGGGTTAGGCAGTATTTTTGTAGGATTTCACTGAGCTCTAAATTGCTTCTGTTTCCTATTTGTCTGCTTACTTGTCTGTATCCTAGAATGTGAACCTCGCGAGTTTGGGAACATATTTATCTTATTCACCATGAGAGGTATCACCAGTATAAGCTACAAGATAATACATATGTTTTCAATAAACATTTGATTAAATATGAATAAGGAATATAATGAATGATGAAGATATGAATGAATAGCCAAGAATAGAACAAATGTAGCTGGAACAGGAGGCCGTCCGATCTATCACCTTTACTCCGTAGATATAGCTATATAGGGGGACTTTTCTGTATTTTACAATACACTGGCTTAGAATCTCCCTCTAGTCAGACATGTAGGCTAAAGTCTAAGTATTATTCAGGGAATCTTTCTAAATCTGAGGCATAGTCAACTACCTATCTTCATGGTTGAATGAGAAAGCCCCACTTAAAGTACTACATGTACCAATTACAGTGTAAAATCATTTGAAAAACATCATATAAAAATGTCTACCCCTGGGAGCTTTCTCCTGGAGTTTCCTCAAAATGGGCAGTGGAGGAGAGTTGGATGGCACTATGATCATGACTGTGGCTGCCAGCTTGGCTGAGTGTCCTGACAGCCTGCAGGGTCACCAACAGAATCTTTGGGGCTGAATGATTTGGTCAGAGTTCTTCCTCTGCTTCAGGCTGACTTCAGGGATTTTTAAAACCATTTGTTTTCATCTCCTGCTGCTGTTGCTAAAAACATCATAAGGCAACTCCTGAATCAGACCAACACTAAGAAATCAGGTTCATGAGGGGGATATGAGAGAGAGACGAAAAGAAGTGGTAGATATCGAGTTAATGGATTCACATCTCTAAACTCGGGGAGGTGCAGTTTCTTTTTTTTATTTTGTTGTGTTTTGTTTTTGGTACCAGGGATTGAACGTGGGCCCTTGCACTTGCGAAGCAGGCGGCGGAACCACTGGGCCAAATCCTCAGCATGGTGCAGTTTCTTCATTCACAAAATGAAAATATATATACTACTTACTTTATAGACTTCTAATGGTCAGACAAAGTGAAATATGGGCAAAAGCTATTTCTAAGCTATTCCCCTCACTCAGCTTTCCTGAAATTTATTCCTAATTTTTAATACGAATGCTTTGGTTTGGGTTAAGCTCAGAAAAATTCCATAAAGCAGACCAAAGAAGTCTCTGATCTCAGCCCACATGCTAACAATTTCAGGCTCTAGTCTCTCACAAAAGTCTTCCCTTGCTAAAAAAGTCTCTCCCTTGTAGTGATGCACTTGTGATCTGTGTCATCATTTTAACATCTGCCTGATCATAAAACCCTAAATTATAGTCCTCAGCTTGTATTGAGGACATGCAGCCTGTGGCAGGGATTGCTGGCTCTTTAGCCCCTGAGAAATTTCTGGCTCAGTGGCTGCTTTGTAACTCCATGCTTTCAAAATCTTGGTGGGGTTGAGTGCGCTCATCTGGCTGTTCTTTGCTTGGCATTACAGAGCCTCGGATTCCAAGGCTTCTCTTGAATGTCTTGATGCCGCCTAACATATAAGAAATAAGGTCAGGATTCCTCTCCAGGATCCCTACATCTTTTTATGTTTTTCCAATTTTCCTCATTCTGCTTTTTGTGTATGAGCCTGAAATTGCCTTAGCTTTTCTCTGGTTGCCCTTATGTTTGTTAACACTTCTTCCCAAAGCACGCACTACAGTCCACCTTAGATCCAACCTCTTTACACTGCCATAGGAACAGCCTACTGATTTTCTCCAAGAACAGCTGTACATCTCCGATCCTAAATCACTTGTTTCCCAGTGTTCAGGAATCCTCATCATAACCCCAAGAATTCCAGTGTCACAGAGAGAGAAGCCTGGTCACCTTGGCTGTCATTATCTGTTTTTGTGCAGTCCAAAGCCTGTACACAAATAGTGGGGAGGGATGCCAAAATGAGAGCACACAGACAATTGCCATCTGTCACAGACAGCACAGAGGCAGAGAACATGGCAAAGTGAGAAGAAAAGGATTAAATAAAGAAAATAAATTAGCACACTGCTTGGGATGGATTTCTGCATAATCATCTTTTTATTTGCTGGAAATTGGGGAGAATGAAGAAAAAAGTGAACAAATGCTGCTCATTATAAGCTAGTCATTTTATGTGTTATATTGCCTTTAATCCCACAATAAATCTACGAGGTCCATATTGTTCTATTAATCCACCGACAACACTGAATCGAAAGCATTAAGCAAGTTGCCTGAGGATGTGCAACAGGTGAGGGGAGAGGATAGGTTTTATTTGGGCAGATTCCTCACTATGAACTCTGACCCCTTCTCATGAAGGAGCAGGTGCCCTTCTATCCTATGGGGGCCATTTTCTCGGCTTTCCTAACAGATTTCGTCTGGAAAGACATGGTTGGAGATGTGCTGAGTGGATGATAGCTGGGTGGAGAGTGTGAAGGTGAAAATCAGGTTCTAGTCAGTATAAGATTTTTTAATAGATTGAGGTAAATATTCTAAATTAGCAAGGGGATGTTAGTCAAACTGATCTACTATGTGGAAAAGAAACTCTGATATCAGACCCAGGGATTTAGCTCAGTGGTGCTGCCGCCTGCCTCACAAGTACAAGGTCCTGAGTTTGATCCCTGGTACAAAACAAACAAACAAACAAATGCTTGATATCAGATATTAAATATATAGGGCTAAATATATGACAGTAAAACCTCACAAAACATATTTGTTTAGATTTGTCCTATCTTGGAAAGGAGAAAGGATTTTAAGCATAAATGAAATGGCAGAAACCTAAATGCCTTCTGGATTAGGTTCAATTATCTTTAAAATGTAATAAACATAAAATCATAAAATCCCGGATGACACAAGACATACAGACTAGAAAAAAAATACTTTTTATGCCACTTTTATGAGAAAAGACTAATTCCTTCAAAGTACAAATGGACAAAATGAACCAAAATCCATAACAAAAATGGTAAAAAGGAATTATTGCCTCTTCACAGATGAAGTATAAATGGCTGAATATAGACAGTCAATCTAATGTCACAAGTACACTGTGATTATAATTTTATCTCATTTTCAGGGTTTTGTATTTTCCAATTGTGTTTAAAATGAATACACATTGATGTCATAATACTTTCCCTCCACCAAAATTCCAAAAAGCACAATTCCATAGGTGGTATCAATCAATACCTCCTTAGTGACATCACATCTGTATTTTGTTTTATCTGTCTCCCGATTCATCTAATACTTATCAAGTACCTGCAATATGCCAGAAACAATGCCAAGAGCCAGGAATTCATGAAAGAATGAAAAAACACTAAAAAATAATCACTACATTTGGAGATCTCACATCCTGATTTAAAAATAACAATTTCTAATCTCACAGAAGAATTCTGAAGTAGGACAAAGATTTGCAAAAGTCAGCAAAGGTCCAAGGAGAAGTCTTAGACAACAGTGATTCTCAGGAAGGGACATGAGACATTTCATAGGATCCCCAAGCTATCTTTGTGTAAGTGGTATTTCGGGCCACCTTCTTTTTCTGTTCCATTTTCCAGTGCCATGATCTGAGACCTGGGACACCAAATCTAATCCTGTAAAGACCCCCCCAGGCCAGCTCTCTCCCAAGACCACTTCATTTTATACCTTAAAGATTCCCTTATTTTCAGTGTAATCATTTTTACAACTGTGGCTTTGATGTTAATGAAGATTATGGTTCTAAAAAAACAAAAGCAGGAATATCTTCCAGGTATTGAACCTTTCTGTGTATCAAACTTGGTGCTATTACCATACATACTAAAATCCCTCCCAAGTAGGTACTGTATTACTCCATTTAAAATGAAGGCACTGAACTCTAGAAAATTAAGCTACATTTTCTATCTATGTAGATGAACTCTGCTTACCCCCTTTCAAGGCTGAGGAGTGTACACTAAATGAAGCCTCAGGGTAGCAGGAAATTTGCTTTTTATTTTTAACTTAAAGTAGTGATTAAAGGAGTATTTTTGAGCTCTTTCTGGAGCATTAAGAGCTTGGCAGAGCATCCCTTCCCAGAAAGGGAATTCAGAAAATTATTCAGTTTCTTAGGTGGTATTCTATTGTAGCATCCTCTCTTGATGAAGTCCATCAAAGTGCTTGCTGTGATTCTGGGCAGGAAGGCAGAATTGATAAGGAGTTTTACAAAGTGTCTGGCACATAGCAGGCACTGAATTCTTACCCAATGCCCTTCACTCCCAAGAGCAGCCTTCCTTTTCTGACTCATTGCCCTATTCCCTCTCCTCTGCACCCTGGCAGAGAGTGTAGACTCACCTGCTTTCCCTCTGTAGATAATTCCCCATTCTTTACTCTTCTCAGCACCTTCTCTCAGTCCTGGTCCCTTTATCGGTTTTACCACTTCCTTCTTGCAGGCCTTGCAGTCTGACAGAACAGCTCCTGAGCTGAGGGGCTGTGTGGTTCTGGACAGTTGCACAGAGAACAGAAAGGAGAAGGGTGTGTGCAGAGGGGAAGAAGAGGCTGGGGGAGGAGCATTAAAGGTGCACACATAGAGAAAGTCCTTAAATGTCAAAGCTCTAAGGCCCTGGACCATTCACCAGAATCAGAAGCTGCTGGTCACTGAGTTCTGTGAGCCTTTGGGTGAACTCATGTCTGCAATAACATCTGAGCTGGCTGTGGAGGTTTTGTTTCACTTAAAATATCTAAAGTTATTGAATAAGTTTCTCTTAGAAAAGCCACAGGGGGGAACTTTGTTTAAAAGAGGAAAGATTAAAGCAAAGAGTTAAGCCACAGGTTGCTAAAATACTATTTACAAAGGACTCTCAAAAGTCACTCATAAGAAAACAAACACATAATGACAAATTAAACACAATATTCAAACAGACTTCTCACCAAAGACCCTACAGGGAAAGGTGGGTCAAAACCACAATACAATCCCTTCACACATTTATTAGAATGTTTAATGTTGAAGACCAAAACAGAACTGACAATGTCAAGGGTCGGAAAGGAATGGGTTATAACTGGAAATCCCACGCATTTGTGTTGACAATGTAAAATGATAACAGTCTATTTGAAAACACACACAGTGGTTTAATACAAAGTTAAAGACAGACATTCCATCCAATTTAGCAATCCCACTTTTAGTGGTTTACCCAAATGAAATTTAAGCCAAGAACTTGTATATAATAATATTTTATATCTGCCGCAAACTGGAAATAACCCAATCAATCTTCAACTGGTGAACGGCTGAACAAATTGTGTTATATCCATATAGCAGAATACTGCTCAGAAATGAAAAGATAAAGTACTAATATGTGCAACAACTTGGATGCATCTCGAGTGAATCATGCTAAGTGAAAGAACTTAGACTTAAGCTCACCTTTTGTGACATTTGGGATACAGCAAAACCATTGGAACTGAAAGCACATTAATGTTTGAAAGAGCAAAGGGTATAGGAAGGATTAACTTTGAAAGAGAAGTAAGGAATTTAAGTTGTTGTTTATTTTAATCATAGTGCTGGTCACACGTCTCCATGTAGTCCTTATAATTCTTAGAACTGTGTATGTATAGGATGCGTTAATTATATGTAAATTATATCTCAATAGGACAAAGGGAGTAAAGAAAGATGGAAATTGATTTAGGGTCTGGAATCTTGGAGTTTTGGCATTATCTTTGTATGTGATGGTTGTTTCTAATTTGATCACTCATTTGCCCATTTACTCCCTCAGCAAATATAGGTTGAGTATTTCCTATGTGCTGATACTGTGAGTTCAGTGATAAGCCAGACTAATGCCCTCATAGACCTCCTTAAAATGAAATAAAACCAAGTGCAAAATACTTTACCAACTGACCTGGAATAAGAGGTCATGCATGAAACAACCAGAAGCAAGACAGGGAGGCTCTTAGAAGAAATAGTTTTAGAGAAATTAGTGTACTAGTAGTGCAGCACCAGACCCATCTGACACCATTTTTGTCCCTGTAGCTGCTCTCCAGTCCTCAGATAGTCTTGCAAGAGAGGACGGGTGAGCAATCCCTAGCTAGGAGAAAAAAAATATTCTGAAATGAGGAGGGCCTGTGAGGGAAAGGAAGGTGAAGCTTATTACTGATGTGTGAAGCAAAAACTATTTTTATTTGCAATGTTTTTTTTTCCTTTAAGGGCAAATATAAATTAAAAATTCTCTTTGTTGAAAATAAGAGGGCTTCTCTCCCTTTTTTGTAGAGCATTTACTTTAGAAAACTTGTGAATTTTTTTCTCTCCCTCTTTTACATGCATGTAAAATGTTTTAAAAGTAAAGCATGTACCCTCAAGTACCAAGAGCCATTTTTCTGGAAATGCAACCATCAAATAAGTTTCCCTGGGAGAATAGGTCCTTCAATTGGCACCTGGAACCAAATGGCAAATCTGGCCTCTATCAAAAAATAAGTGAGGAGAACTGGATGGGGTGGGGGCTCACACCTGTAATCCCAGCACTCAGGAGGCGGAGGCAGGTGGATTGCTGCAAGTTCAAGGCCAGCCTGGGCTACATAGTGAGACGCTCCAAAAGAGAATTATATTTTTTCTTTTAAAGTACAGTTAGTGAACACACTAACAAAAGAGTGTAGGATGAACTATGTGGAGACAATTCCAAGTCCTGTTTGAAGACTATTCAGCCTATCCTAAGATGTATGCAATGGATTTTTATTTGTTTTCCCATATAAAAGGGCAAGTATTTTGTTTTTATAATTTCCTTACAGGATTGCCTGTGAGTTGCATTACATTATATTTTAATGCTTATTAAATAGTAAAAGCATTATCTTTTGCTTCTACTTTCATGGAGAGGTCTTTGGAAATGGCAGCCGTCTTTAAACTACAGTATATTTTCTCAGTAGTAGTGTCATGGTATAATTTGGGTTAATGTCTCATATAAGTAAAGACTGAATTCAAGGACAAAGGAGGTGGACAAGATGAAGGTTTATTAAGAAGAGATAAGTAGTTTCCAATATTTGAGTAGTTGCCCAGGGGATTCCTTGTCTAGCAACTTTTATACCAAACAATGATCAGGGCTCAAACCAGTCCATGTCAAACTAAAGTCAGCCTACAAACTTAAAACAAGCTTATTGATACTAGAAATGGGTCTATCAGGAGTCCAGGCATGCAGCAAGCACATGTCTACTTAATAACTAGTGGCTTATTAAAAAATCAAAATGAAAAAAAATATATTCTATGTAGGTAGGAGTAGAAGTTGCCAGAATAGCCATCTATCACCTTGCTAAGTCATCTTCCTCCTTAACTGTCCACCTGATTCTTAGTAATTGTTGACCTCAGGCTCCTGCTTATCTGACCAAGACCTGGTCATCCTGACTCTCTTGTACCCAGTGCTTCTCTAGCTGGATACTATCTCCTATTTAACTTGCCTGTCTATAATACTAGCTTCAGTAAATTTTCATTAATTCCTCAGTTAATTAAGAAAGATGTCAAGGGGGCAGGTTTTATAAATTATAAATATCTGAAATTTATGAAAACCTTCTTATTAGTAGATTAGATCAAACAGTGAAGTAAGAGAGATGGTTGTTAACAAAACATGGATTAAATATTAGGGGAGTATGCTGCATATAGATATAAGGAATCTAAGTGTATCCTATTCTATTTCTTCCATTATTATCTTCTAAATCCACTTCTTTTCCTAGGCAGGATAATTACAATAAATATTAATGAATGTCCTCTTTTATATGTATAGAAAATTTATGATAACAACCAAATGGTCTGCCGTTTTGTGTGCAAAGAAAGTGACTGTGTGTATGGAGAGAGAGGAGAGGGAAAGGAGAGAGGTCTCAGTACCTATGGTACCACACAGAGACCAGTAGCAGGGGACCCGAGCTTCTCAGGTTGTCAAGGGGAGGTGAACAAAGGTGATCAGCCAGTGAGTGAGCAGCTCTACGACTGAGTGAGGATCATGAGAACTAAGATATTTCATCCCCCTGGGATGGGGCAGCTGGAGCAGCTCAATCAGTTCCAAAGTCATCCAAGGCTTCTTCGTCAACATGGCAGGGGTGAGGGTAGGAAGGCAATTGCTTCGCAGCTCAAGCTTTAGTCTTACTCTGACCACTAGATGGAGAAGTTGAGCTATGGAAATGCTAGCTCGGGCTCAAAATTTCTTGATTTTGCCAAGAAAGCAGAAAGAGCAGGGTAGTTATTATAGTCATTTCTTAATGTGAAACAGATTCAGCTGAATAAATTACTTACACTGTATGTATGAAAGGATAGCAACACATAACCTCATCAGGAGATCAAATGGCAAACATTTGAGTCAAAGTTTCTGCATTTTTATTAATATTTACTCCAATGTCTAGTACCTATGAGAAAACATGTGAATTGAGCTGGAAATAAAAACCTGGACATCTTGGATTGAGATCATTCAATTTACTTTGCTGTTTTTGGCATCACTGTAGAGAATTAATGACCAGTTTGCTTTAAAATCATAGGATGGCCTAATAACCGATTGCTAAGAGCTTTCTAATAGTCTAGGAATTCTATGAATTGATTTGGTTACAATTTCTCATCATTTCATTTAATTCTGTAGGATAAATACAATTTCTTCTCTTTGTAGATGGGAGCACCACATCCACAGAAGTCATAGACTTACTTGCTTAAGGAAATCCCTATACTAAGTGACAGAGGTAAGATATAAATTCAAACAGGACAATAATTTTGTCTATTCCTTGTCCTATTTAATAAGCACTTGTTGACACACCAAGTTGGCTTTGATCCATGGTCCACAGGTCAGTAAAGAGCAGTATGCTTGCATGTTTGAAGTGTGCTATTGCCTCCCATTCTTATGTGGTTTTCAAACTCTGGGCTGGTCTCACCTGCCAAGACAGATGAATACTTTTAGGATAAGAGAAATTCTAAAAAGCCCTTTCAATTTCAAAGATCTGGTTGTGATAATTCTAGCATGAAGCTCTGTCACTTTTGTGTTTTTGTGAAATGAGAGAAGGGATCTCGGAGAACTATTTACGCACAAGGAAAATCATTTTGAAACATCGTATAATAGGAAGGTAATTTAAAAAAAAAAAAAAAAAAGACTTCTTGAAGAGCCAGAAGTCTAATAGCTTAGTTACAGCTTCTCTGCAGGCTTCCCTCCAGTAGGAGGTAAACATTATGTGGCAGGATATTGAAGGCGCTTTCTGAGTGTAACTTTCTACTTAGTTGCTTCTTGGTGCAGAAGATGAGCCGATTAGGAGTCTTGGCTAACATCAGAGAGTTATGTGTTAGAGAACCACACTATTACTTTTTGATAGTCCTCATTAAAGAGTGGCTTTTTGTCAGGGCCCAGTAATGGCCCACTGGAGTTTGACATTTGGAAAATAACTTCTTCCTGTATAATTAAGGCATCAACATTTGCTACTCTTCAAGGAAACTGTTTGTTAAGCTTGCTTTGACTCTTTCACCCTGACATAACAGGAAACTCGTTAGCCGAAGATCTGATGTTATCTGTAAGAGTCAGGAAATCCGGTCTTTGAAAAGCAATTACTTGATGTTTTTTGTTGTTGTGTGCCCTTAAAAGCTTCCTGTTGCTGTGAACCTATAAAAGGAGCTGTTTCTGCGAAATAAACCAGACTTCTCTTCATCTCCACTCAGGCTGGAGTGTTCTTTCCTTTCTCAATCCTCACTCCCCGACTCAGGCTTGTTCGTGTTGTGACGGCTGGACCGCCACAGCTTTTAAATAGGAGATAGCTACAGAGCTTCAGTATTTTTCTGGGTGAATTTTGAGGCAGGGTTGTTGCATTCTGGTGAAGTGACTTAGCATATAGTTCCAGCAACTTGCTAACATCAATAACTCAGAGGCTTATTTTTATTGGTAAGGCTAGTGTTTGGGAATAAAACGAGAAATTGTTCATTTCACCAGAAGTTTTTTTTTGTTTTTGTTTTTGTTTTTTAATTTTTTTAGAGCTGTAACTGGCAGGAGGGTAGCACAGCACTGTCCTTTGAAAGAATGATGCTTGGGAAGTGTGTTGCTTCATTTGCACTTTCCCTGTTGCTAATTTAGAAGATAATTAAATATCTACAGAAAAATCAAACCCAAACAGGTGTAGCCACCATAACTGTTAAAGGATTTAGCTAAACTAAGAAATTTTCCGGGGCCAAAAGAACAAAGACTCTTACAAAAAAAATTTTTTAAAGCAAATACCATGCACTACATTCTTTAAGAAAAAAAAAAAAACGGAGCCCTGCACACATAGCTCTCTGTTCCCTGTTTCACTCTCCGCTCTCTTCTGTCTCTGTCTCTCTTTTTCTCTTTCTGTGTTTGTATCCACCATATCCTGTACCAAGATTATTTCGTTGTGCCTTGTGTAAGGAGATGCTTATAATCAAGTCTACAAACATAGGCAGACACTGACAATGATTAATATTGCACTATGTTTGCTTTTCTTCTCCAGTGACTTAGATTGCCAAAACAAAATCCCGACAGCCTAAAATGTATTGCAAATGACACTGGGTATGGTTAGGGAATTTATCCCCAGTGTCATCACATCTAGCTTTGTAACTTTGAGGGGTTTAGCTCAATTTTCTAGGTTCCATTAAACTCCTCTTTACACTGAGGCTAATGGTAGGACCCACCTCCTAAAATTCATGTGATGACTGGGCGAGCTAATGTACCAGGATTTCTCTGAATGACAGTTGCTTTTGGTGAAGAGAATTACAGTATTTTTTCCTGGTGTTTGTCTTGGGCTGAGGTGGGACCCTTCACTGTCATCACCATTCTGGTCTGTCTCACTTTTTAATTCATTCTTCTGAAGTAAAATGGCTAATCTGGTGGATGAAGCCGGAAGCATGACCTGAGCGCTCCTTGAGTCATTCCTTTTTCCTGATATTTGTTTTGGGGGGGTGAGTTTACCCTTAGATATTTTGTATTTTCTGCTTTTCTCAGCTATTCATTAATCTTGGTAGAAAATCATTCCAAGAAAAAGAAAGTAGCCATGTTATGTCAGCTCCATCAGTTATAGTGAGGTGTGTGTGTGTGTGTGTGTGTGTATTTGAATTGTTGACCACCTTAATCCGTTGTCTTAACTTTTAGTTGGTTCAGAACTCAGAAGGCAAGAGCTACACATCACAACAGCGCGATGTAATCATCACTGGGAAAAAAAAAACTTTGAGGTTAATTTTGGAGAAATGGGGCCATAGTTTGACTTGGTACTCCGAATAGGAGCAGACCAAGTTATCCTTCCCACAAGGACAGGTTTGTGGCAGGAATCTCCACATATTGCTCCTCCAGTTCTTTGAGGTAGCATTTGGATTCCTCAGCTTCTGAAAGAAGACTGATCCTGAGACATATTCTTAAGTTTTTATGAATTCGTTAGATAATTTACTTAGGGCTCAACACAATAGGGGCCTGTGCATGTAATAACTCATTTTCAAATCTCTCATCTACCTTCTACTAGCTGTAAGATTTTTTTTGCAAATATTTCAAGGTCATTTTTTAAATTCATTTTAAAAATATAAGGTCTTATGTTTAGATCTAAAACACCTCTCAGAAATTTCATGTAATTCTAAGGGAGGCTTTTGGAAGGTGATTCTTTCATGAGAAGTCTAACTTCATTAGTGATTTAATCCAGTGATAAGATTGCAATTTGATGGCATTATTGGAGCAGATGGAAGAAAGAAATGGGATCTAGTTGAAGGGAGTGCAGTGGGGGGCATGCCTTTCAGGACCTGGTTTCTAACCCCTTCCTCTCTGTCTCTTTCCCTTTCTTTCCTCTTGCTTCAGAAGCTTCTCCCATAGTAATCTGCTATGCCACAGTCCAAAAGCAGCAAAGCCAGCCAACCATGGGCTGAAACTATGAGCCAATCTTTCCTTCTTGAAGTTTTTTTAGTCAGGTATTTTGTCACAGCAACAAAAAGCTAAGACAAAGAGCATCTACCATATATGATTTTTAGGAAGATTAAATGAGTTTGTAACTACATGGTATGCTGTACATAGTATAGAGTATTCCCAGGGTGGAGAAAGCATACATTAACTCCTAACTATGAAGACTGTTTTCTAAACTACACATCGGACATTGAACTCATAGTTGTGAATACTGCGGTGAACACAATCGGTTCTGGAAGTTTCAGTTAGGACTGGGGTGTATGGCTCAGCCTGACTTGGTTTCCATTCTTTACTATCTTAACTCTGAGAGCTCTCAAGGTGATTGAAGAATGATAAATGACAAAAAAATCAATACATTAAGGCCAGCTTTGAAACTGCATTTTAATAACATCTTATTATTTATTCATAAAATCATTCATAAAATTATTATTGCTCTAAGAGCAATATACAAATTATTTAGGTGACAAGCTTATTTTCTGGGTCTAAAGCTTACTCTAATTTCTGAG